GAATTCCACAGCCAGCAATGCTGGCTGTGGAATTCTGGGAGTTGAAGTCCACATGCCTTAAAATTGTCAAGGTTGAGAAACACTGAGCTAAAGGAACTGATGAGGAATTTACAAGACTTATTCTAAAGTGTCTTTTCAGGACTAATCTAGCCATAGATCAGACCAATCAGCCCCCCAGGATATCTGGCTATAGAGACAGGAAGCCAGTCAATCTTCTCAGTTGCCTGTGATCTTCAGACCACCTTGCTTCTTAAGATGCCAGCCACAGTTGCTGGTGAAATGTCAAATAATCTCTTTTGTCTAGACCAGATTTAGATATCAGCCATGAAAGTCTACACCAAAACTCGCTTTGGAAGTAACTTTTGGTAGTTGAGATTTTAACATTTTGTGCTGCATTTTTATGTACATACGCATAATTATTATCTTTCCTATTTTAAGGTTTCAGAAAGCGACAGGCTGAAAAATATGGTATATAGAATCATGTTTTTTGTAATAAAAAGTATGTGTATGGGAAACTTCATCAGAAAGCTTTTAAGGTGTTAAAAACAGCAGTTAAAAGCTGCAGTTTGCTTCTTGAAGAACAAAGAATGGCTATTTGCATGCATCTACAGAATGCATATACCTTGGTGTTGACTCCCGGTGACTGCCTAGACTAGTCCCTGCAATTTTCTTGTTAAGAAGTCAGAATTGGTTTGCTATGGCCTTCGTCCTGGGATCGAGAGTGAGTGGCCCAAGGTCATTCAGGTAGCTTCATGCCAAATTGGAATTAAAACTCCTGATTTCTAGCCTGGCATCTTAACCACTATACAGTCTGCTTTTCATGGGCTTATGAATGTAATAAATGTAGAGGTTTTGCTATGAGCGTCTGTGAGGATTTATTTATTTATTTATTTATGAGACTTATATACCGCTTTAAGTGTGAGCACTCTCTAAGCGGTGTACACCAGTAAACAATGTATATATATATTTACATTGCCCCCAACAATCTGGGTCCTCATTTTACCTACCTCGGAAGGATGGAAGGCTGAGTCAACCTTGAGCCGGTGAGATAATATAATATATTTATATAATATCTAGCACAGTTTATTTTATGACTTAAAGCTCTGTGCTTTTTTTTTGGCCCTTTAAACAGCAGAAATACTTGGAAAGTACAAATTATAGTGATGATCAGATGACATCCATGCAGTGAATTGATTGCATGGATACAGTTGAAGGAAGAAATGGTGATACCCTTAATAAATAGATTTTACTTTTTTTTAATCTATCTATATTATTATTATTTCATTTTAATCTCTGAGTCCAATTTTCAAAATCCCACATTTTGCTCATTCCTTAGAAGGAGTAGAAGTTAATCATACAGATAAAAGGTATGTGGTTAGATTAAGTATGTTTCTTTTTTGCTTTTCTTAATAATAGAGTACTTGAGAATTTTCCCACAGATATATAGTATAGAACTCAGACGCAGGAAATACAAGTCCTCTTTTGATTCTTAAGCAAAATGTTTAATGCCATGTAAATTTTAGCCTCCAGGTCTTTGAATGCACTGTTTAATGTGGTATGGATTGCATAGTATTTTGTATGAAACTTACTAATAAAATGCATGTTAATATATTGGGAAAATATCTGCAACAGTCTTTAAATAAAATGATCAATATCGTAATACTGATTTTATTACAATTTAATATTAGATCTCTTCGAAATTTAAAACAAAAGTATAAAGCCAAAGTTGGAACTAAAAATATTACAAGATAAACTATGAGAATGGGTTCAAAAACATGCTTATAACCTTTTAAAGAGATAATGAAGAATCCAGTCCCCTTAATTCAAGGGGTATATACCAAAGATGTAGGGCAGCCAAATGTACATATGTACAACGGCTATAGGCAAGCCTCCTCAAATACTGGCTAAAGATTGAAGAGGTGATAGAAAAGCAGAGGGTTGGAAACTGACTGTGGTTGCAATCAGAAATGGATTTTGTGGAAAACGTGGCTGCAAAATCTGTTTTATTGAGCTAAGAAATATAGCATGAGGCACTGAGTAGGCTGTTCCAGCCAGGGAACAGACATTACCAACTTCTTCTAAATCTGTTGTTTCCACTTGGGCTACTAGGACTCAGCTTGATACTGGTTAATGTCAGGTTTGTCTATTATAAAACCTTGGCCATCCACAATTTGGTGATTGAAAACCAGGCAGATCTGATGTTTATTATTGAGACTTGGCTGAGGGAGAGCACTGATGTTGCCCTTAAAGAAATTTGTTCTGCTCAGTTTCAGGTCCTGTACCAACCTTGATGCCAGAGCTGAAGAAAGGGATGTGTTGATCTTATTTCTGGTCAAGGTTGCAGTTCCAGAGGTAGCTGGATATGATTGCTTGTGTGTTCAGTTAGGTCTTTTGATGTGCTGGCTGCTGTACTGCTTATTATGATCTCTTGCTGAGCTCCTGGACCTGGTCTGTGACCACCATCTGTTGATATTGGGGACCTCAATCTCCAGTAGAGTACAGGAGTTCATGACCTCCATGAAAGGGTTGTCAAAGGTTATCACAGTGTTGATGCATGTGAGCAGCGAGATCTTTCATTTTCAAACAGTTGCTATGTGATGGGGAGGTGGAGGGTATTACCACCTTCCTTTGTCATGGCTGTTCCTGATCCAGATATAATTGATTATTCCGTACTTCTTCTAGAGCAGACATGTCAAACTCGCGACGTCACGTGACGTCCCACAACGTATTGGAATGGTTTTGGCAATACAACGTATTGGAATGGTTTTACCATTGCCGGCAATGGGGTGGGCATGGCTTCTGGATGATGTGTCTGGCCCGTGGGCCGGCAGTTTGACACCCCTATTCTAGAGAGTTGGACCCTTTTGAATGGTTTGCCTCATATGCATTTGGATTTGTGTTTCCAAGCAAGTGCTTGAGGATGTTCCTATGGATAATGTAGAGAAATCATTTGAGGGTCTGATTTACTGCTAGAATGGAGTGCTATCTTGGGCTCTTGACGGAATAGCAGCCTATCTCTGGTGGCTGATCCCAGGGAGCTCCTTGTGGTGGAGTCTTGTTGTGGTAACTGGAATACAATGCTGCCATATTGCCTGGGCTTCCTTCTGACCTGTTAACTGCCCAAAAACTGGACTGGGTAGAAGAATGTCCTCCACTATCTGTAGTCAGCCCTACCAGGTAGACTAAAAACTCAACTCCAAAGGAAGGCTAAAACTGCTTTTATTGAGAGTGGCTACAATGACAGTCTGATGACACTAAACCTTCTCTCTGTTCTTAATACTCCTGTGAATAAGGTATGTGTCTATATGAGTGCCTTTGAAATATTTTGATGGACTCGATACTTGTTTCATCTCTCATTGCTTTGGTAATGGAGCATGTATATATCTATGTTATAGTCATTTTCCTTGCTCTCTACACCAGGGGTGTCAAACTGCCGGCCCACGGGCTGGTTGCATCATGCGGATCATGCCCACCCCAGCTTCGAAAAATGATGAAAAAAGTCGTGATATGTCGCGACACATCATGTGACGTGGCAAGGTTGACACCCATGCTCTACACTGTACACCTTTGATTTATTTCTAGATGGGTTGCACTGTCCTGAAGTAACAGGTCTGTAATTTCAGTGTCTTCTTCCTGGACTCACAAATCCTGCTTGATTAGCAGGTGGAGGCTGTGACCAGGAGATTCTTAAGCCTTACTTAAATGCTTAGACGACTGCAATGAGTTCTGTAGGGAGTTGTCTTTAAAGATAATACCTAGAAGCTTCAGTTGATGCAATATGCAGTGTCCCAGGTGTTCATTGGTGCCTGCTGATGGGCACATACATTTTTTCCCGTAGGTTCTGCACTGGCTTCCTATTAGTTTCCAGATGCAAAAAAAGTGCTGGTTTTAAACAAACCTTGTTATAGCTTGACACTGGCTTATCTGCAGGACTTTCTCCTCACTCTAGTTGCATCAGAAGAAGCAGCTGGTTGTTCCCTATTTTGGAAAGTTTACAGAACCAAAAATATTGTTTTTTCTATGATGGGCTGGTTCTGTGGAATGTCGTCCTGTTGAGATTTGATTGGTTCCAATGTTAATTTGCTTTCCAAAAAAAGTAGAAAACAGGGCTTTTGGGATTACTCAGTAATAGAAAGTTAGAAGCCTGAATACAGTTGTCAGCTTCAATGAGTTCAATGGAGACTTCTTTTTTTAAAAAATAATAATAGTAATAATAATAATAATAATTACCTCTGTTGATAACAAGTTGCTCTGCTGTCCTATAGAAAGGCATTTATGGTGTAATTAAAATCTTGTCAGCCCTTTGAGACAAGGAATCAAATCTGAGAGTCCTAGTAGTACCACTATTGTGAGTTTACAGTGACAGAATCTTGCAAGTCTGAAAGAATTTCTCCTTTCCCTTGCCTTTACTTTCCAAAAACTAGGGAGGGTCCCTCATAAGATGCTTTCTCCATCTCCATTCGGTGGGCTGAGATACATCTTGTCAGATAGTGGCTCTTTTTTCTATTTCCCAAGGTTATTCTCACAGCCCATTAGAGATCTCCAGTAATCTGACTAGAAATCACCATGGATCAAGAAGACAAAAAGTTCCAGCAATCTGTTTACATTCTCTGGAGTCATAGTTGTATATTTTAAAATAAAAGTTGTACAAAGTACAAAGTTAAATCATACTAATACAGAAATAATGTTATTTGTGTAAAAGTGACAACAGGCCAGAAGCTAAAGTGTTTCTTTTAAAAGATGATTTTGTAAATTTAAGTGAATTTATGATTTTTAAACAGATGGTTTACCAAATAACTTTATTTTGTATAGAATTTTAAAAATGCTTTTCTCTGTTTGTTTTCCTACTATTTTATGCTTCTGTTTGCACACGTATAGCAATAGCACTTAGACTTATATACCGGTTCACAGTGCTTTACAACCCTCTCTAAGCGGTTTACAGAGTCAGCATATGGCTCCCAACAATCTGGGTCCTCATTTTACTGACCTTGGAAGGATGGAAGGCAGAGTTAACCTTGAGGTGGACGAGAATCGAACTCCTGGAGTGAGCAGTGAGTTAGCCTGCAGTGCTGCATTCTAACCACCATGGCTCATATGTACTTTTTTACATATGTTGTACAAAGACACACAAATTTAAAAGGAATTATTTGAAAATCTCAGTGTATTGAAATTATAGAACAGTTCATATATTTTAATGTTATAGAACCTTTCCTTTAGAGCATTAATATAATAATAAATGGCATTGTACATTATTGTAACATTGTAATTATTCTATTTCTTTTCTGGTTATTTTTTTTCTAAAACTGCATAGTAACCATTCAGTATATTTGTCAGAATAAACTGCTGCCAACTTCTACATTTCCTCTTTTTACAAAACTGCCTGTATTAGTATTTTTAATCATAGGATATTTTAAAATGCTAGTGAATTAAAGTTAAGAATCCTCACTATTTAGCATGACATGATAAACAGGACAAAGTCTGGTCTCACAAATAACATTAGGTGTTTTGCTTATTGCTAGGTATATAAAATTAGTTAACCTATAACAAGGATACAGGAAAAGCTTTACAGAAGTCTGCCTTGTAGGCAGAAAGCTTGCCAAATGGGAAGTGATTCATCGTCTCTGAATGGGATGAGCACTAAACAGAAATAGTTTAAATTTGAGATTTATTTGGCTCACATACTACCAGTAAATGATTATAACTGTCTCTCTCTTCTGTGTCTCATTATTCTGTTCCCCAGAATTTATCAGACCCAAAATACTGTGCCAGAAATGGTTTTTCATCAGCTGTATGAAGACTTAAATATTGACAGGTTTAAATTATATCCATATATACAACATTTATGTTCTTCAATTAGAAGATTAGTTTTATGATAGCAGTGATGCATGAAAGGCAAGAATGTCATGATTTACTGGATCTAAAGCAAGTTATTAAATTTTATTGTTTATTTACTGCCTTTGTATCCTCTGGGAACTCCAGGCAACAGACCTGTTTGTCTTCCTCATTTTAACCTCACAACAACTGTTTGAAGGAGTGCTTTTCAACTTTGACTGGTTAAAGATGTGTAAACTTTAACTCCCAGAATGGTATGCTACGCTGTACTGTCTGGAGAATTCTGGGAGTTTTATTTTATTTACCTGGTTTTTTTTATCCCTCCTTTATTAGTTTTACAAATAGTTTAAGGTGGTGAATATATTCAACATACCTTCTTCCTCCTGTTTTCCCCACAACAACAGTTCTGTGAAGTGGGTTGGGCTGAGAGAGAGCACTGGCCCAAGGCTTTCATGGCTAAGGTGGGACTTGAATTCACTGTCTCATGGTTTCTAGTCTGGTGCCTTCACCACTTGACCAAACTGTCTCTTAGTTGAAGTCCACACATCTTCAAGTTGCCACGGTTGAGAAATACAAGTTTGAAGTAAGCTGGAATTGAGAAGAATAACCACAGAGTATTAGTGAAAAGCAAAATGCTCCATCTGTCCTAAGTTTCTCAGTTCTGTAGGAACTGGGCTACCTCTAAAGCTTGCTTCTTCCAATAGACAGAGAGTGTTGGGCAAACGCATTCCGGAAAACTAATGTTTATTTGTATCGTTTTGGGGTATTCTTTAACCAGAATCTATCGTATATGTTAAAAGCACTGGATAAAGTTCAGATCACATTGTAGGTTGCAATATTGTAGGATTATGGATGGTTCCTTCTTCAAAGTAAGTGTTGGGAATTGTTGAAGATGTGATTGCAGTCATGCAGTGCTGTCTTCACTCTTTCACCCCACACTTACTTGCAGTATTGATGTTATGTAGTTGGGTAATGAAACATCTGCAAAACAGCCAAGCTCAAAGAGTACCAACAACTATGCTTCATTGTTTGGTCACATTGTATTATCTAATACTCAGTACTTCTACTTGGATTAATTGGATCTTGTGTTCTTCAGCATCAGGATGTACTAACAGATGTCGTCTAAGAATAAATTATAAAGTATAAAACTAATAAAGAAGCACCAAACCCAATTAATTTAATATATTTTTGCTTTCATTTCAGAGTTTGAAAAATGCCTGGTTGTTGTTTCTAGGGAGCAGAGATGTATGGTATATCTGAAAGAGCCTGTAGAAATTAAAAAGTTAATTTTGCAAGTTCTCATAACTATTATATGCAGGTTTACCCCTTCTCCTTTATTAGTGTTTCATTGTCTTTTGTTTTTTTGACAATTAAGTAAATAATGTAGAATTTTAACAAAGATGTGAATAATAGAATGAATCCAGAAACATAATTAACTGTAAGCAAATTATTTTATATGTGTTTTCAGTTTTAACTCTGACATAGGATGGAAAAATTGGAGGAATTGTGGAAAACGAAACCTTTTGTTTACTGTAAAACAATACCATGAAGTAGATATGATATTTAAAGCTGGAGTCTAAACATGATGGATATAGGCAGTCTCCATTTGGTTATGTCTATAAGTCACTCAGAAATCTTAAGTACAGATCAGCAACTGGCTTTTTTTTTTAAGTAACAGTCACAAATAACAGTCTTGTCCTCATTGTAAATTATTCTGCTGAAACAAATGTGGACATAAATGCATTTTTCTGAACTCTGTATTATGTCTGGATATTCTTACTATTCTGTTACTTCATTTTAGTTTTAGGTCTGGAGGTTGCGTGAGACTTTCAATGTAATCTATGATGACATGGATTGTATTAGATCTTCCTCTGACATTATTGTACTGTTATTGTGCTTTTGTTAGTATTATTTTTTATGCTGCATTGTTGGTTTTAATCCTGTGTTTTAACCTTAGAATTGCAAGAATGGTGAGGTAAATTGAGTGAGTAAATAAATAAATTGCAGTCATCTTTAGTTGGTAGATCTTGGGATGGAGAATATAGTAAAGATGGAAGAAAAAAAGAAACACAGGGAAGTGAACTGTCAGAAGAAGAATGGTGAACTTTGGATGACTGCACAACAGACTTATCTGCCATCTGCCCCACTAACTTCTTGGCTAGTCACTGAGGGAGCAAACAAGGAGGATCTTACCTAATCTGGGTGGCACTATTTTGTGACCTCTAGCAGATCATCACAGAGAGCAGACAGCCTATCAATGAGTACAGTTATGTGAAAATATTAGAGGAGCAGGAGAGGACTGGGAACCTAAAGACTGTTGGAGCTACCGGTATCAGCTGGACAGTGCTTTTATTGGTGGTTAGCAGTGACCACAGGTAGAAATTCCCCAGAAGATGGCTTCCACTAATAGCCAAGAGAACAGGCATTAGATTGGACTATTCTCCCTCATAATACTGTTGTGCAGGATCTGAGGTGTTGCTTGATAAAGAAACACAGGAAACCAGAAATTGCCTTTAAGCTTTACGTTTTTATTCAGCTGAACAAAGATGGGCTCCTCTAAAAGGAAGAAGCCCCGAATGACAGAAAATCCCTATTTTTATACTTTTTCATTACATAAGCAATCCACCCAGCAAAGCTGACACACATAAAATAAAGACTTCACCCAGAAAGAATGCCACACTGTAGATAAGAAGGGAGAAAGCAGAAGTAGCTAAAACTCCCAAAATGTTTACTTATAATCTCAAGCAGTAATACGTTTTCTTATTAATGAACAAAGCATAAATGGAAAGTTCTTTTTTAATTAGTGGTGGCTTACTGTTGACAATCCTTAATTTTGGTTTACATTGCCAATTAAGTGTGCTTCCAGGTGAGTTTCTTATTGTGTAATTATTCTTATTTTCAGAACCAGAGTCTCCATTTATAACTATATAGTTTTTTTCTACTGCTGTCAGGTTTCCTTCCAGAAGAAAACTTACTACGAAGGAAAAAATACATAGATCTAATGGTGCTGATGTACTCTATCTGGAAGAACTCACAAATCAACCCGTTTGGATATCTCTCTGTGTATATGTATGTGTATGTTAATTTGTGCCTTCAAGTCAATCTTGCCTCCTAGTGACTCCATGGACAAGTGTAATTGCAAGTCATTATGTTATCGTAGACGAGATTAAACAATATGTTTAACTGACATATAGAATTAGTGTTAATTGTGACTGCTTTTTGCCCTAAGTATCTACTATAGTGTTCATAAGAAAATTTAATTCTTCAAGTAGTATTGTCTGCTTAGTTAAGCCCAGGTTGCATTGAAATAGAGCTTTTATGGGCTTTATGCATGTAATTGTATGAAGGTTCTAGATGACAAAAATTTTCATTTGTAATGTTTTTGTTTCTCCATACATTGCATTATACTTCATTAAAGAAAATATCAAAACTGCACAATGACTTTGATGGTTAGCATTAAAAAAGGATAACAAATGTGGGCTGTGTAAGCAGTTTCATATTGAATTATTCTGTTGGATTTAGATGACTGGTCTGTTGCAACAGATACAGGTAGTCCTCGAATTATGACTATAATTGAGCCTGGCAATTATGTTTATTTATCGACATAAAGCAGGTCACCACCTGATTTTACACTTTTTTTTGCAGCAGCATTAAGTAAACCCATTGATCACTATGAGGTGTCTTATGCCCTAAACAGGAAGTAAGTACCAGTTTCCAGCAAAACGGTTGTGATCGTGATCATGCATCCATGAAATCCTACAAACAGCCATAAATGTGGATTGCTTGCAAAGTGCCCAAAATATGGTCATGTGACAGTGGGGAAAACCCAACATCAGAACTGGGTTGTAAGTAGCTTTTTGGGGGGTCTGTCGTAACTTTGAATGCTTGCTAAGCAATCGGTTGTGAGTTGAGGACGTCTTGTACAGATGGTCCTCAACTTACAACCACATTGAAAACTAATGCTTAGGGGAATTGTGGGCTTGGAGATTTTTTTGTAGTTGAGGCATAGAACATTGTATGTTGGAAAAATATTTCAGTTTTTAACACATTGTACCTGGATATTTGAATGATATTAAGTGAATTTCCTAGTCTTTTTTGTTAACTTAGTTTATAATTTTTTGGAAGGCATATTACAGCGTTACATAAAAAATCCTAAATAGTATGGCTCTATTGCATTGTGAGTACATAATATTTGGATGGAGAAGCTTTAAAAAATGAGAATGTTTTGAATGTTCTCTTCTGAAAAGCGGGGGGGGGGGAAATCACTAAATATTTTAATATCACTGCCTTTGAATTGCCAGTGCTGCTCTCTGATTTCAGAAGGAGTATTTTGAAATGGAGAGTTTTCTATTTTTCTAATTCTCTCCCTTCCAGCAGTTTGATTCCAATCAGCAGCATAATTGGACTACAACCACTGTCTGGAGGGAAAGGGGAATTTTTGGCAAGAGGCAGCAGAGCAGTTGGAGATTTATTCAGATTAAAGCATAGCTTGTACAACACATATTAACAGCAGTATAGCATTGTGTTTCTACAGCTGGGATATATATTTTAATTATATATGCAAACAGAAGGGAACCAATCAGGGAATACTATGTTAATGAATTCCAGTAGAATATTATTTTGAGTAGAAGTTGAACTGCTATTTGAAGTGGGTTGTGAACTTCCCTTTTCAGTTTGCCTATTTCCTCAACTATTTGCATTACTCTGAGAAAGAGGATGTTCGCTATTTAGATTTTTTTTTTTTTATAAACAGGTTTGGATATAATGATGCTTTTTTCTTTGGTGTGATGAAATCACAAAGCTGGAGAATTAGAAAATACCTGGGATCAACTTCTTTCTATTACAACATTGTTCTTTTGTGAGCCTAGAAATTACTACTTTTGAATATTATAATATTATCAAACCATATTTCTGATGTAGAAAATGAGGAATGGAAAAGCCTTGCTATTAGATTTTTTTTTTTAAAAAAATATTTTGCTGTAAAAATAGTATAGTGTTTTATTTTTCTTAAAAAAATCTTAATGTGTTACATTAAAGGCTTTATGCATGCTAAACAAATGATAAGGTCGTGCCAAGCCTTAGTTTTCAGCTGGGAGACTGTAGCAGGTAAAGATATTTGTTGTCAGTGTTCAGTCTGCTTCATTACTAGAGTACCAACAGAAATTCCAAACTTGTTTTCCTGAAAATATTTTTCTTGTGGCCTCCAGTGTTTTTCAGATCTTTTTTCTAAGTTTTTGTTTTTATTGTTGATTAGAATTTCCATTAGTTTTTGGTATGTGCAGTCCTGCAGTACACTATTATTTTACTGAGATACTTTCCTCTATCAATCAACCTTTATTACTGTCAAAAGCAGCATAGGGTGATTGGAGTACAAAAAATACATAAAACACTAATTACTTTCCTCTATTTTCTCTGAATTGCGATAAAGACAAAAGGAATAAAAATATATGTTATTCTCTATTTTCTTTCTGTTGACTAAGAGAGTGAGAGTTTTTTATTTGTTCATTTTTAAGGTTCACTTTCACTTCACTTTTTACCTTTTTAAAATGCTTTAGGCTGCTGTATAGGGAAGATGAGAAAGTAGCTGAAGCTTAAAACATGAACATTAATACACACTGGTGATAATAAATAAAACAAATTCAATTTGAGTTGCATTAGAAAAACAGAAAAGTGTTGTACACACTACATCTTAAAAGATCATACAATAGCTGTATATTCTTTTTATTCTAAAATGTTAATTTTAAAACCTGTAGTTTTGCAATTGTAAATGCATTTTGCCCCACTTAAAAACTTAACTCTCAGTTCTTTGCAAGTTCTGCTTCATATTCTGCTACTCTTTGTTCCTGAATACTACTTTTTAAAGCTCAGAAATATGTAAATAGTGTCATTCCATGTTAAGAAATAAGAAATTTGGAAAGATTATTTTGCTTAAATCTAATAAAGGTTATGTCTTAACAGGTGGCAGCACTTGAATGACCTTGTCTGGGCTTAAAAGTTAAGCAGGATTAGTACTAGGCTACTGACAACTCTGGGTGAGATTTTAAGTAAAAAAATGAAGAAACAAAAGGAAGGAATTACAAACAACTTTTGTAGAGTATTTCTGCCAAGAAAACTACATGGATGGAGTAGAGCTTGATTGCAAAGAACCATTATCTTTCCAAAGCCATGAATTAGATTATTGTTTATTGGATTATTTCTTTTTACCTTCACAATGTTTTTTTTCCTCTTTTTGTAAAACGTTAATTTTGAAATAAGTGGAGATTTGGCCAGTGAAAAGTAGCAATGTATCTGAACAGGTGATAATAAATAGAGTAAAATATCATAGTATAAAGATAGTATAAAAAGTATAGTATAAAGAAATCTGGTGATGCCAGTGCTTGTAGTATGCAAACTCTTGTGGGGAAGAGAAGATGAGGATACAAAATGATTCAGTAGGTGTTGATGATCACCTTCTGATTATTATTTACTTATTAATTACAGGAGTATAGTGTGTTGATGATCACCTGATTATTATTTACTTATTAATTACAGGAATATAGTGTGGAATCTGGTATTTTTCACGCTGTAACTTGGCACATGGAATTTGAATTTAAAAAATGAAATGTTTTAATTCATGGTTGTCCAACCTTTTGGCTTGCCTGGGTCGCATTAAGTGAAGAGGAATTGTCTTGAGCCACATATAAAATACATAATAGACTAAGAGCCATCAACAGGAATATAGACCTTAACAACATATTCATACCATTCAAAAGAGACAATCAAAAAGCCATAAAGGAAACAAAAAAACCAAGTACCGTACCTACTCACCAGTGATCAACAGCCAGATGAGCAGAGATTAAGGCTAAGATTAACATTAGACCAACAATCAAGAAGCAAACAATAGTCCAACTGAGGAATTGCCAAATAAGCATCTGTAAACAATATCCAATCAAGGAATCACCAAGACCACTCCCAACAACACTGACATGGGAGCCATAGAATGTAAAATTGAGAACAAATCCCATCCCCAGCTAGCACTGTGATGGTAATGAAATATCTACAAGAAAACAACCAAACTCAGAACACCAACACAGTTCAATCCTGAGCTAAAAATGTTATCTTCAATCGATACATAATGTGCTTAATGTATATAAATAACAAACTTCTTTTTAAAAATATTTTTAGTATCTTATGGGGCCACATTATTAGCTGTCAGGACTGTGGGTTGGACTTGCTTGCTTTAGTTATTTATATTTATACCATTGTCTCCCCATTTCTTTTTCTTAAAAAGCTCTTCCACAATTTGCTCTTTTATCATACATATTATGTACATATAATCCATGGGCACAGCAGTTTTCATGGGTATCTCCATTTGTGGTATATTTCCGGAATATTCTAAGGAGAATATTAGTAAAAGTAGGCATTCAGCAAGGAGAAGGTAGCAGTGGAGAAAACTTTCTTTTATTATTTAACTTGATCCCACTCAAGTAGAGAAAGTAAAAAGGACAACATGGCAAACTTGTCAGACACCCCCTCTCCAAATATCCCGCCATGACATATTTAGCAAACGCAACATCAGCTTTCCTTGCCTTTGTTATGTTAAAAGAATTTGAGGCAAATCAACTTTGCTCATACAGTGTACTAGATAGGGCTCAATATTAGCTACAACTTGGTGCTTACTTTATTGTTTGCCAGGCAAGACTGGAAAATTTAGCTGGCTTTGTTTCTTTAGTTATCAGAAATCTTTTCCTCTACTCCTCTGTTTTAGAACTGTCCCTTCTTTCAGACATTCAGAGTTTTCAGGTCCAATCTTTGAGTGTTTTGCTAAAAAAAAAAATGTTTTTATTTATTTGAATTAGATTCTGTATGCCCTGAGTTAATATGAAGTGAATGAGAAAAAATAAAGTTTTATTATCATTTATATCAGTGTAATAAATTGGATAATGGGTAGCGGACTAGGATCAGGGAAGCTTGGGTTCTTCAAGTCCTTCCTTAGCTAAGAAAGTTCCTTGAATAACTTTGGGCCAACTATCTGTCATCCACGGTTATCATTTCAGGGATAAAATTGAAGGAGGGGAGTGGGTACTATGAGTGTCAGAATGCTTGCATTCCTGGAAGAATTGTACAATATAAGTTAGGAATAGTGGGATCTAAATTAATGTTAAGTAGTGCATTTATGGAAAATGTTCAAGATGTTAATATGATGTTGAATTATATACAAAAGCTTTGGAATTTGACTTTTTGTCAGGAATAGTGCTTATTCCAGATGTCAAGGAATAATTGCTGGAAATGTTTGATCTATCTGTTTTGGAAAAGGCAGTATTTTCTGCCTATCAAGGGATGCAGCAATATTTGTTAGTATGGAAGAGATTCTATGATATATAGTAGGGAACATAATTTAAGATATTTTTCTTAGTTTGTATTTTTAAGATTTTTTTTAAATTAAAGTGTTTTTTTTTAATTGGCACTTGTCATTCTGTGCTGCTTATTTGTCTCTAAGCATTTGCCTGTATAAAAAGTCCTCGCTTATCAACCACAGTTGGGACCAGCAACTCCATTGTTAAGTGAAAAAAAATCACATGATTATTAAAACATTTATATCTTTGGGCTCTATAAGCAATAATTATGTCTCTAAACAAAACAAATAGAATGGCATTTAGGAAGAATTTTTTAAATGTTCGCATTTACTGGCTTCTGAACAAACCAAAATTCAGGGAATTTGATATTGTGACTAAAGATCTGCAGATGCTTTTAAATATATATGTACCTTTATTAAGGTTTTCTCATTTTTACTTTCATCCAATTTGATTCCCTCCTTGGTATTACCACTTAAGCATTTAAAATCCTGTATTGTTTAGGATTCAAAAGTGTTGAGTAAAATGAGAGTTTGAGCCAGATTTTGTTTCCCATTATGCAAACCATATACTGTATAACTTCCTTTTTCGAATTGGTACAAAGGAATTGTTATGAAAAGCATTTTTAGAGCTGATATAGAATATTAGTTGTGTTTTTCTCACTATAATATATTGAATAAAAATGCATAGAAATGACTTAACATTTAAATATATTCGCTTTTAATTTATAAATCAAAAAGTATACTCTATATATTTTGGCCAATGACATTTGTTTAGAGGCATGGATATAATCTTAGTAATGGTGCTTTTGGATGGGCTGCACCAAACTCAGTTTCTCAACTGCTGATTCTAGCGGATGAAGGGATTGAATAACAGAATGCCAACTTTACAATATGGTTGTGATCCCTGATCTATAAACTGCATGATGTACCTGCATTTCTAAGTACATTTGCAATATACTTCAGTATGGATACATATGCCGGAGATTGTATTGTTGAATGCTTACTAAATATATTAAAACTCAAAATGTTATAGCATTCTATATTTGTTTTTTTGTTTTTGTTTTGGTTACAGTTCTCTGTGCAAAAAATTTGGTGAAAAAGGATTTTTTCCGTAAGTACATATTTCTGTTTTTATATCTTTTGTTCTGTATTACCGAGGGTTCAGATTCAAAGATATTGTCTTACTAGATAGCGTTTCATAAACCATTAAACAGAATGTTCTAATATAGTCAGATTATCTACTTGCATTCAAGCATTATTTATAGCCTGTGCTAATAGAGTATATTGATACACTTGCATTTTGAATGCAAACCTATGTAGTATAGTTGTTAAAACCCTGGACTAAGAGCAGGGAGATTGAGATTCCACTCTCAACCATAGAAATTTATTGGGTGGCTTTGGATCAGTTATTGTCTCTCAGCCCAATTGGAAAGGGAAGTGTTACTGTTGTGTTTCCCCAAAACTAAGGCCTACCCTGAAAATAAGCCCTAGTTTGATTTTTGGGGGTTGGCCTAATATAAGCCCTATCCCAAAAATAAGCCGTAGTTTTGGGACGAGGCACACACTTAAAAATCAAGCTAGGGCAAGGGTAGGGGTGTGGATCTGCCCCACGCGCCCCGCACCCACTTACCTTGCATCCATTCCTCTCCTCGCCGGCCCACTTCTGTAGCATCTTCTGCAGCCAGGCCTGCATTTCTCAGTCACAGGCCTTTCCGGAAGGCTACTGCAGCCGAGAACCGAGCTATGGATTGAATCCATAGTTCGGTTCTGCAAGACCTCTGTAGCCGAGGAGCAAGCTATGGATCAAATCCATAGCTCGGTAGTTGGCTACATAGGCCTTCCGGAAAGGCCTGACTGCAAAATGCAGGCTGGAATACAGCTGCAGAATGAAGCTGTTCCTTCGGCTCCAGAAGAAGTGGGCCCACTGGGCAGGGCTGTTGGTGCCGAATGTGACCTGGTGCCTCTTTTGGAGGTGAAATAAATAAATAAGGCCTGGTCTTATTTTCGGGGAAACACGGGTATTATGCTGCCTTGAACCCCTAAAGGAATGGTGGGAATTTAAAAAAGTATCTAGTATGTATCTATTATAATTTTTAATTTTTATTTGTAAACTACCCAGAATCACTCCAAGAGTGAGATGGGCGGTATTTAAATTTGAAAATTCAGTAAAACAGGCATGTTGTAAAAACAATGTTTTAATTTGTGTACATTTCTTAATATGAGTAGGCAGTCTATGACACCATCTTTTGTTGAGCTTGAAATCCCAACATCTCCCATTGATCTTGTTTGCTAGAGATGCTGAGAATTGTAATTCTATAATGCCATAAATGCCAATTTATTGTGAAGTTAAAATCTAAAAATGGATCAGTATTATAATATACTTTAATCAGCACTAAAATTCAAGATCATAATCCATTTCATAGCATTAATTTTTTAGATGTAGTTATCAGGAAGCACCCCAAAAGTCCATTGAGTTTTAAAAATAGCATGGAAATTTAGCAAAAGAGTGGTTGGAAAGAGTTGCTGCCACTGGTTTCTTTTGGCTAAATTTGTTGTTTATTAAAGAATTGCTTTAACTATGGGTACTGCTAACTTATTTCAGTCAAGTACAACTATTGATGATTTCATGAACATATCCCTGTAGTTTTCTTGGTATTAGTGTGGATGTGGTCTGCCATGATATTCTTATAGAATGTTTTTCAACTTCTGAACTCAGCTTATTCTATTGGAATTCCCCGTTGGTCTCCCATCCAATGTCTGCTATAATCAGGATGACCTAATTAATTTTCTAACCCCTGTCAAGGTCAACCAGATGCTGCCATCTGCTGATTTTTCATGTGTCTTACAGAATATTTATAAATAACTGTTGTGTGTTTCATAAATGTCATCTCTACCTTTATAATTAAATGCTTCAAGAAGTACAGGGAGTCCCTGGGTTAAAAATGAGTTCTGTTCCCTAAATCTGTCTTTAACCAAAATTTGTATTTAAGTCAGAACTCATGCTTACAAATGAGCTGCCTACTAAAAATGGTGGATGGCGCCAGTGCTTTTTTTCTATTAAAAAAAAAAAAAAGGTGCCGGAACTCACACATGTCATACAACCCGCTTTGCCTACCTTATAAGGTTCCATCCAAAAAAGGTGCCGGAACTCCGTTCTGGGCGTTCTATGAGAAAAAAAGTCCTGGGTGGCGCTGTTCTTCCTCAAGCCAATCAACCGGGCAATGCTTTCATTAGAAATGGCTGAAAACAGGCTGTGTATTAAAAACACATGGCTTCAGTGCTGTGTTGACTTTGAATCTTCCTGTTCTTGAAAGAATTAGACTTGTGAAGAACATTTTTTAGCATTTACAATGATAGCCTGAAGTGTCTTGAAAGAATGTTGTATGTCCAAATAAATTCAGTATCGGATGTATCTTGCAAAGAACAAACAAATAAATTATGGAATTCCTAGTAGAATTTGTTCTTTATATAAAATTCTACTTTTACATAAAGGAGTGGTACTATTAATGTAGTTGAGTACAAAAATTTCTCAAACCAGATTGACAGCATAATGAGAATTCCTTTGTTCATTGGATTAAAAAGGAGATAGGTTAGAAAATGTAGGCGCTTTCTAATGGGCCGTCACAAATAAAATGATAGCAATTAGCAGCATTCTCATTATACTATGTGTTTTCTGACAGGACTTCCTGATCCATTTGCTAAAGTGGTGGTGGACGGATCTGGCCAGTGCCATTCTACTGATACTGTGAAGAATACCCTTGATCCAAAGTGGAATCAGCATTATGACCTGTATGTGTCAATAGGGATTATTTAAATATGGTCAAACTTTAAGCTGGATAATTGCTAAAAAAAATAAAATATATTAAGTCAGGGAATTTTTGTTAAGAATTACTCTGAAAAGTAATGCAGGCCTGCATTAGCTGTCTGATTTGTTTATAAAGTAGCTGGTGGTTCATTGCTAAAGCAGAGGGTTGGTTAATTGATTGGTTATGTATCATTACACTAGTGTCAACTCTTACCAACTACATAGATACTAATTCTTAAATGCTGCTTTTTTGTATAAAATCAAAGTGCTTAACTGAGAAAACAAGTATGTATATTTTTTATGACAGTTGGGAAACACAGACAAAAATGCAGATTCTGGATGAGGAGTAGAGATACCTGGATTATCAGATAGATTGAATTCCAAATTCACACCAACTTCTCAAATTATGTGTAGTAATCAGCGATGTTGGGACTTGTAGTACAGTTTTAATGCCACAGATATAGCATTCTTCCTTTAACTAAGATTGGTTATTTTAGAAGCTAATTATTACTTCTAATGATCCCAGTATATCATTGTCTAAGTATTAATTGATATATCATAAATTTATAGATAGCACCCAAGAAAATGAAATTGGGCACTAATAGCCCTTGACATAATTCTGAAAGCTTTATATTCTAATGTCTTGTATAATCATATCAGGCAACTTTCAACATCAATATTAAAAATAATAAATTTTCCTAAATAAATATATTTCTGCCCTGGCATCCTATTACGGGGTCCCCAAAATGCACACTATATGTAATATTAAGAAATAGTCCCTCTCTAGTTGCTGGCACCATTTGCTGGAATCATAGTCACATGAGTGTCTCTTGGGGAGATAGCACATATGGTAGAAAACATTCTTCCCTTTTTTTTTTTTTTTTTGGTAATTGGAGGGATACAGTTGCAATCCATCTGTTCCTCTCCTATATATGTGAGTATTCAACTGAAATCTTTGTGCTTGGTAGCAGAAATTGTATGTAGAAACAAGTTGAAGGCATCATTATATGAGTAGTCTTTTCCAAAATGATAACATTCTAAGTCTTAGAAAATAATCAGTTATTGATTTGTAAACTCGGAGAGCATTTATACAGGTAATCCTCAACTTGCAACCACAATTGAGCCCCACATTTCTGTTGTTAAATGAGATATTTGTTAAGTTTTGCCCTATTTTACGACTTTTCTTGCCTTAGTTGTTAAGTGAATCACTGAAGTCATTAAGTTAGTAACCCGGTTGTCGGGACATAGCAACAGTCATAAATATGAACCAGTTGAATTTTGATAACATGACCATGTTGCAAAGATTGCAACTGTAAACAAATGGTTATAAGTCACATTTTTCGTGCCATTGTAACTTTGAATGTCAAGGACTACCTGTATTATGATGCATTGGAACTCCAGTGTGTTACGAGATGAGTAAACAATTTAAACGAATGAGTGTAGAAGGATGTTTTAGTAAATTGAACACTTTGATGTTTGTACTATGACAGAATGCATGAAATGGGAGAAGCTTTCTAAACATCTCCCAGAGAGAAACATAATTCTTAAGTGTTACAACTCGTTTCCAAATTAAACACTCAACAACATACCATTTTTTCTGTTTGAAAGACTGTGACTGTCTAGCCAAAGGATGTCAGCAATGTATGATTTACATAAGATATTTTTTAAAAGCTCCTTTGACATTTGTTCAAGTAGAATCTTTTAATGAGTAAATTATGATGGAGACTTGAGCATGTCTGTGTGTAATGCATTTGACCCCTTCTTCAGCATAAAATAAAAATAAACATTTTATGTTATGAAGCTTCAAAAATATTTTGCAGTCAAAAATTACATTTCATAGACTGTTAGAGGTATACAGTCAACATATGTTTTATTGCTGATTCCTATCTTTTTTCCTCCCCTTAGATACATTGGAAAGTCTGACTCTATAACAATCAGTGTATGGAACCACAAGAAAATCCATAAAAAACAGGGAGCTGGTTTTCTGGGTTGTGTGAGACTTCTTTCTAACGCTATCAACCGCCTCAAAGATACTGGTTGTAAGTAGAAAGAACAAAAGTACTTCCATGTTTTGGAGTGACTTAGTTCTATGGAAATTATACCGTAAATGCCGGCATATAAGACGACTTCCGCGAGCGCTGAAATCGGCACCAAAGACGGGGGTCGTCTTATACGCCGAGTCGTCTTATATGCTGGAAATACTGGTAGTTTCTGGCGTATAAGACGACTTTCTAGGAATGCGGCCCGGCTATAAAGACGGGGGTCGTCTTATACGCCGGGTCGCCTAATACGCCGGCATATACGGTAATTTATTTGTTTGTTTATTTATTTATATCCCACCTTTATTATTTTTACGAATAAGGAGGCAAATATATCCACCACGACTTCCTCCTCCTATTTTTTTCACCACCACCACCACAACCACAACCCCTGTGAGGTGGGTTGAGTTGAGAGAGTGACTGGCCCATAGTCACCCCGCTGGCTTTCATGCTTAAGGCATGACTTGAACTCATAGCCTCTGACTTTTTTAGCCTGATAGCTTAACCACTAGACCAAATTGGCTTTGGGGAGGGTGAAAACCAGTATGCTCTACATCTTCTTTTTGAAATTCTAGAAATGTTCAATTCAGCAATATGTATTTTGCCATAGAAATTACCTTATGTGATCATTACAGAGAAATAAGGTGTGCTTCCTTGGTTCTTTTTTAATAGATCAGAGATTAGATCTGTGCAAACTTGGGCCGAATGACAATGACACAGTTAGAGGACAGATAGTAGGTAAGTAATGATTTTATTTTGTTTGTTTGCTTTATTTTATAATCTGCCTTGATTATTTTTATAAATAACACAAGGCGGTGAAAATACTCGGTTCTTCTCCTGTTTTCCCCACAACAACATTCTTGTGAAGTGGGTTGGGGTGAGAGTGTGTGTGAGAGAGAGATAGCTCAAGGTCATGCAGCTGGCTGTCATGGGAAGGCAGGATTAGAATTCATAGTCTCTTGTCTATGGAGATTCTCAGCCAACCAGGTCATGGTTGTTCCAAAGGTGCTATTTCAAAAGGCAACTAGACTTTCAAAAGCATCTTTAGATCATAGTCTCTTGGTTTCTAAGCCAGCACCTTAACCACTAGATCACACTAGACCAGGGGGTGTCAAACTGGTGACCCACAGGCCGGATGTGTCACGAGCAGGCCACACCCACCCCAGCTCCTCAAAGGCAAAAAACATTGTGATATGTAACGTGACACGATCGAGTTTGACACCCATGCACTAGACCAAATGTAAATATATATTTAAACACCAGGATAGAAATGGAAAACAAGGAATGCACAGTATGATTCTTCCATTATTTAAGTTTGTTTTGAGTCAGAATGGCATGATTTTGATATAGCCCTGTATAAGTTTGACAGACATCTCCACCTAAAGTTACTACAATTCTGCACTTTATTGGTAAAGAAATTTTGGAAGGCTTCTGTGATACAGTTTTGTTCCTAAGTATAACATATAACAGGTAAAGCAGTATAGCCTTTTGGAAGAGGTCCCTGCAAAAATATGGAAGAGGAATGGTACAGAGCACCATTAGGTTAAACAGATTGTCCATAAAAGCACCTTGATCCAGCAAATGTTTTTTAATGAATAAAAGTGAAAGGCATTTTATTTCCATTTCTTCTTCTGTATGCACCCCCCTTTGCTGCCTCCCATGTGGCTCACTAGGGTTCCCCTATTATCTGAAGAAGAATTAGGGAAATTAAGGCATAGGCGGAATGAAAGAGCTCCCCTCTAGAGCTCTGATGGGTGATTGGATTCCAATTTTGATTGGAAAGAGAAACCATTGCATGTAACTCTTTTATTTCTGTTTATCAGCATTACTTGACATTCATTTTTTTCTCCCTTATTAATAATTGCCCTCAGCTTACCATTTTTATTTAAACGCTGGCAAGTATAATATATATAAAATTTTAACAGTGATAGTCAGATTATTTAACTGAAATGCTTAAGGCTAACTAAGTTTACATGTTAGGTACTGCTTTATTTTTTCTTCTCACTGAAGTTAATGTTTAATATATTGCTTTAGCTATGCATTGATCAATCCTGTTAACGTGCTTGTTAACCCTATGAATTTGTTTTTCAAAAGGAGTGAGTGTTAGAAGGGAAATTGACAAGCAACTTTGTGTTGTGATGGTCTTCTGAAATATAGTTTGATTGATCTCACTCCTGTTCTGCAAAATATGTGTTTAAATATTAGATACATTCCAAACATTTTATTATGTCAACGGTAGGAGGCTCTGTAGATGAAGTTGAGCCTGATCATCCAATTTAACATTGCTTACAGTAGTAACATTTAAGAATCCATTCCACTAAATGGTTGTTTATGATTAAACAAATTTAAAAGTTGGAGGAAGAGTAAATTACGTCTAATGAGAATTTCCAGACATTTGATTTATAAATTGTGTTCTTGCTTCCAAGTTTTGGGGTTGTTTTTTTTTTTAAATGCTGATCCCAGCAGGTGGAATTATAAGGATCCCTTTTGCAGATGGTGCCCTACCTTCAGAAAGCCAGCATTCCTTTGGGTTGCAATGGGGCCCAGCCTCTCTGTTATCATTCGCGGGGTTGATGCTCGTTTTGGTCTAGACTTGAGCTTTCGGTTCCAATCTAAACAGGATTAGGAAAAGCCCATTCATCTTAATGCCACAGAAACCACAAATAAGTCATGTGTTCAGTTTCATTCTTGACTGGCCTCTTTATAAAGTAAACAGAACTACTTAGGTTTACACAGGCAGCCTTTGTTGTATTACTTGCAACACTTTAGGCATAGAATTATCGTTTTATTTTATTGGTGAAAAATCTTTGCATGTAAGAAATGTTAGCGCTAGAGATTGTCTTTTTAATGCAGGTGTGAATATGGGAATTGTTTGTATAGATTTAAACTATTTTTGCAATAGCATTGTGTTCGTCTATGCCATTGTTGAGCCTTGTTACATCTTTCAAAATGCAAGCAAATAAAAATTGTATATCAAATATTTTAAAAAATGAGTGAAAAGGCAAATCATAATATTATATGGTAAATAAAATCCCTGATATGGAAATGCCTTTTATGCAGAAGTATCTGATTCCTAGCAATTGATTTATAAGGCAAGTGGTAAATATGAGGTCCCTTTTCTATATTGTCCACATGTTCAGTGAATTAAACTTCCCAAAGGCTTATCTTTACTGACAAGATTGTATGTCAGCTTTAAGCAGAGCATTTAGTGGTGGGAGTAGGAGGAAAGAACATAAAAATAAGGTATAGCATACAGAAAAAATAACAGAAGGAGGAGGAGGAGGAGGAGGAGGAGGAGGAGGAGGAGGAGGAGAAGAAGAAGAAGAAGAAGAAGAAGAAGAAGAAGAAGAAGAAGAAGAAGAAGAAGAAGAAGAAGAAGAAGAAGAAGTAGTAGTAGTAGTAATAGTAGTAATAGTAGTAGTAGTAGTTTTGTCAGGACTGAGTTGTTGCTTATTGGTCCTTATTCAGTTTATTATTATTCCTGGTATAGTTTCATTATCCTTCACATAAATTTGATAGAAAGAATGGGATGTAATCAGCAAAGAGGTTCATTACATCTCCCTTTTGCCTTTTCCAGTTTATTCCGGTGTTCAGAACCATGGAAACAACTAAAATCTTGCAGGATCCTATAACATTGACATAGTCCCTCAGTATCACATTTTGGAGTTACTTCTTTAGGTAGAAATGGAATTACTATGTCATTGTTTCTCCCAAAAGAATATGGGAGGAGTAACATTGTAATATTGATATTGGAAGTTGCTAGATGCTTCAGAATTAACCAGATCCACATTCCACAATAAATCATCCATTAATATACCGTTAGCAATCTTTGTACTAAGGTAAACTTTTCTAACAAAGTATGCTTTGTGTTCTACTAGGCACCTATGAGGAACAGATTGAAGGTGTAAGATTGTAGCTTGAGGTAACAGAGACATGATTATAGGAATACCTATTTACTGAGCTAAAATTTTCAGGGTCAGATTACTTGTATTTTGGAATCTCATCAAACTGCTTTTTACTATCTTGGAGTAATCCTCAGGAAGTTTAATGAAAAGATAAGAGCATCCTGTATGTTTTCAAAATTTCAAATGTGTATATCACTGAATCAAAAAGATTCATGCAAGATATGCCACAATAATGTTCTAATTTTGATTTTTGTTTTTTGATAGTAAGTCTTCAGTCCAGAGATCGGATAGGCACAGGAGGGCAAGTTGTTGATTGCAGTAGACTATTTGACAATGATTTACCTGATGGGTAAGTTATTTTTTTTTTTTTTGATAGTTGGAATGAAATAACATATTGCATGTCCCAAACATTGTTTTACTTTGCGCTTAATATTTGCAGTGATAAAAAGAATGAAAAAATGCTAGTTTAAAATGTCACATAAATTTATTTAATAAATAACTCTGCAAGCTCAGACATTTTAAAATCACACTTCTTATAATATACACTTTTCTTTCAATACAAAAATATTTAGTTGGGAAGAAAGGAGGACAGCTTCTGGAAGAATTCAGTATTTGAATCATATCACGCGAACAACACAGTGGGAGAGACCAACACGGTAAGCATTCTTTTAAAGAGCTAAAAGTATGGCGTGCCTACAACTTCAGTGGTTGTCAGTGCTAAAAATTCTCCATTTCTAAGTCAATGTTCCACATTATGTCCTTTCCTCTCAAATTAGAGCTTTTTCTCACATATTTAATATGTATTACATTATTACACAAAAACATAGAACTTATTTGCTCATGAGAATCTTTTCAGGGAATCTGGAGAGGCAGAGCATCCAAATTAGTTTTCAGATAAATGAGAGGGTTTTTTTATTCCCCTTTGCAACAGTCATTTTGCTAGAACACTTAACATTATCTCAAACCTCTGCATATGCCTGTTGGATCAAAACAGTTGCTTATCCCTATTTTGTCAGATTTCCTTAAGTCCTTATTATGTATTTTTTAATGTTCAATAATAAGTAATAAAATTGACAAGAATAAAGAGTCTTATATAAAGACAAAACTGTTTTTTATAGAACTCTGGTTTTTATTCAGTTAACTCAGGGTTTGTTATTAGTTTATATATCCTTTCTAGGAAAGGGAAAAACAAGGGAAACAGTTTGGACAATGCATTAAATAAATTATTCCTATTTTGCTTCCGGTTGAATGGGAGACGGTGAGTTTTGCACCAGTACAAATACACCAGGATTTTCCTGATTCTTCTATTGTTGGTTGCAAAGTTGGCAGCTATGTTATTGCTAATATGTAGGAAATCAGATCTCTCATTTCCCTTTCCCCAAGTCTTCTTTGTTCCCTCTTTAGTACAATGCAAACAGTGAACATTTCTGAGTGAAGCACAGTGTGGGATAGTTTTAGAACTGCTATTATCAAAGGAGGCATTAGTGGTCTGTCTGGCAAGAAGAACTTTTTTCTAACTACTAGCTGTAACCATTCCTTGTCAGGACTAATCTGGTCTCAGCAATCCTTGTGGTAATAATTTTAGGGCTGGTTTACTGGAAATACGCTTTACGCAAAATTACCCTGGGGGCTGAGCTGGAAACTGCTTCTGATGTAAAACATTGCAGCCAGATCATTGAAGGGACATATGAATGTTTTATACCCATCTACCAATCTGTTCATATTCATATGAAAGAACTGTTTGGACTTAGGCGATTGAGGCCTAAGAGTAGCCTATTTGTCATATGACGATTCGTTTATTACCTCTCTGAGGCAATGCTGCATTTATCAAGAATTTGCTATGCCATAATCCAAGAGAATGTCCTCAACACTTGTGCCCTCTTTCATTCTAGCATCCAGCCATCTTGTACCGCTTCTCGTTTTAATCTAATTAAAAATGAATAATAAACTTTGTTTATTTATTAGAAGGTGGCTTTTAAACTGGTATTCCTTAAGATGTTATTTAAAACTCTGTAATTTTAGACTGTAATGCCCTTTTGATAGAAGAAACAAACATTGTTGTTTTTTACTAGGCCAGCATCGGAATATTCCAGTCCTGGCAGACCTCTGAGTTGCTTTGTGGATGAGAACACACCGGTTACAGGAATAAATGGTGCAACGTGTGGACAGTCATTTGACCCCAAGCTAGCCGAAAGGAGAGTTAGATCTCAGAGGCATAGGAATTACATGAGCAGGACTCACCTGCATACTCCTCCAGATCTACCTGAGGGATATGGTATGTTTTCCTGAAATTGTATAACTATCTACTTGTCTTTTATAAATAAGAGAGAAAGTATAATTTCCTATTTAAGGGAAATATTTTTTAAAATTGGATTATAATGCTGGTGCCAACTATGATGATTTGACAATTGTGCAACACAAAGGAGATGCTGGGACCTTGTGGTTAATAAATATTTTAAGCAGTGACATTTTTTCCTCTCCATAAAACTCTTACATTACAACCCAGTGTGGTCATAAAAATGGCTAATTTTGAATCAATATCTTTAGGCAAAGAGAACTTTAGGTTGTTTTTTAATGAGGTATATTGTGGCATTGCAAAGACTAATGAGGATAGCTTTGTCAGTTGTGAACATGGGCACATTTGATATATTGTTTTTAAAAATTTAGAAATCCGTAACTGCTTTAGACAAATCACTAATGTTATGTATTCTCTGTTTCAGAATGCATATATATGTACCAACTCTTTTCATTTGTTTAGTAGGTGTGACGCCTGTCAAGGGGGTTATGGTATTGTTATTTTTAATTGTCGTGCAGATATATTAATTTTGAAGGCAGATATACCTGTCGCAAGATACTATTGCAGGATCCAATCTGGGTCGATCACCGGGACCAAAGTGTCCATCTTTCGAGCTTTCAGGCTTGTGCTGGAGCCCATCTCTCAGGGAACTTCTCTCTAACACACTCTGCTAGAGAGAAGTTCTCTAAGGATGGGCTACAGAATGGGTCCAAAAGCTCAGAAGACGGAAATTCTGGTCCCGGTGACAGACCCAGATTGGATCCTGCTATATTAATTTTGTTATATATCATGTAAACTACCGAAAATAATTTGATTGTAGCAGGGTATAAGTTTAACAAATAAGGGGGGGCATGCGCACACACACACACACACACACACACACACACACACGTATTTACTCTAGTTCAGATACCACAATTCTACTAGAACTCAACTTTTATTATTCTAACAGATTTTTTTCCCTATACACTTTGAATTTTGTTGGTATTATAGAATTTTTTTTAAAAATATGCTATTGTATTTAAACTAGGAAGTTCTGAGATCTTAAAATCCATACCAGAAAGTTGTCGGAAGGTTGAATCATGGCAACTGGACTAATTTAAATTAGTCCAATTGCCATCATTCAACCTTCTGATACCTTTGCCTGGATAACTGAGAGTTTTCATTGACATACCAGAAAGTTGTTAATTGACCATCACAATATTGGGATTCTCTGATCAAATTTAAATTATGTTTGTAAGTTTATGGGCGTACATTTGCATATGTGCATATATGATGCTTTTTAAGGGAAGGGAATGAAAAGAAGTCTCCCCCCCAAAAACTCTTACTGTTTATTTAGAAATCTGTATTGATCTAGTTGGCATTGAGTGTCGATATGCATGCAGACGCACCCAACATGTACCATTTCTGTATTCAGTGGCTCTGTCTGCCGAATCTATTAACATATATAGAACTCACTAGCAGGTCTGAGCTGGGAATATTTGTAATTTCAGGATTTCTTATTTTGTGCAGAAATTCCTTGTTGTTTTGAACAAGGATGAAGATTGTATTATTGAAACCTCCCTATGAGAAATTCCTGTTAAACTTACTCAGGTTCATATCTCAGTATAGAAGAGTACAGGTCCTTGACTTGTGACCACAATCGAGCCCAAAACTTCCGTTGCTAAGGAAGACAGTTGTTAAGTGAGTTTTGCCCCATTTTACGACCTTTCTTGCCACAGTTGTTAATTGAATCACTGAAATTGTTAAGTTAGCAACACAGTTGTTATGTGGCTTCCTCATTGACGTTGCTTGTCAGAAGGTCACAAAAGACGATCACATGACCCTGGGGCAGTGCAGCCATCATAAATATGAGCCCGTTGCCTAGTGTCAGAATTTTGATCATGTGACCATGGGGATGCTGCAATGGTTGTAAGGGTAAAAACGGGCAATAAGTCACTTTTTTCAGTGCTGTTGTAACTTCGAATGGACACTAAAAGAATGGTTGTAAGTCAGGGACTACCTATATGCATTGTAACTCAATAGTACCTGAGAATTTTCCTCCATTTGTAATGGAAAATCCCAGATCACTATAATCGCCACAATAATTGGCATTGCCTTTAATTCTGCAATAATTTATAATCCTCACGTTATCCCAAAAATTCCTTCCCTGGAGTCCTCTAAGTCACTTTTTTCAGTGTTGTTGTAATTTTAAGTGGTCGCTAAATAAATGATTATAAGTTGAGGACTACCTGTATTCTGCATTCAAATACTTATTACAGATATTGGAGAGTATTCATTTCCCCATTTTTGTATTGTGTGCCGACTGTTCAGGATCTTTCCAGTCTCTTCAGTGGAATAAAATCAACTGTGGTTGCATAGGAGAACAGCTTTAAAAGTCTCTTTCTCCTATTTTTCTTCTTATACCCCACCCTTGCAAATGTCTTCATCCTGTGTACAGACAGGCAAGTCTCAAGGGAGATTGGAGAAAAAGCTGGATCTGGACAGCAATGGGGTAACAGGGAAATGGTTAGGAGGCCAGCAGAACACACGGTGCTGTCCCTGCTGCACTCCTAAAGTCTAGCAGCTTTTCAGCTATCATCCAAGGGATTTCTAAAAATACCAAAGATGCAATAGGAAAACAGAAGAAAATTACCCTGGAAGATATTGCTTGTGTTCCAATGAGGTTCAGTTATTTATTTTTTTTGAAAGCATCTTTGGTCTTTTCCCCACGTAAATACACATCTATGTATCTTTGTGTATTTATGAATAGCCACTATCCTTTGGATTTATTCAAAAGTGAAAAATGCAATTGTGTATGCATAGAAGTCCTATAAACCCCCTAATATTATACTGTAAAAAAGTTCATTCAAACAAGTATTTTTTTAAATCTTTCCAATATTCTGGTCCTGGGAAGGTTAACAACAGTTAAAAAAATAACACAGAAACAGAATAAAGGTTAGGGCAGTATATAAAAAATTACCCCAGTCTTGCTTAGCCAAACTGTTCAAAGTAGTCCCAGTCTGGAACTTCTAATAGCTGTTCTAGAAAAGGCCAAAATGGAGCATCACAAGAAGTTACATAGATTGTAACATTTATGTCTAGATTATCAATGATAAGTGGAGATCTGGGGGAATTTTTTTTAGAAAAGGAAACAATATTTTGAACATTCTGATCTGTTTTTGCATTGATAATTTCCCAAACAGAGCAAAGGACAACTCAGCAAGGGCAGGTGTATTTCCTACATACTCAAACTGGTGTAAGCACATGGCACGATCCTCGTGTACCTCGGTAAGAAAATAATGTATCTTCATTGATGCTGGAAATTAAGTAAATTCCCTTCACAAATAAAATGCAAAATAGCACACAAATTTCAAATAATTGTACACTTGCCTGGTGTGTGTCGTGTGATTCTATAGAACTCAAATTCAGAATGTGGTTCAGAAAACAATGCATTCTGAAAAATCTCTGTTTTCATTTAAAAAGAAGAGAATAGCATGGGCCGAATCTTTATATCGGAAAAAGGATGCATTACATGTCTAATACATTTACAAACATCTGAGGGGGTTTGAATAAAATTGTTCTTTGGTCAAAAATGAAATTAAATAAAACCTAAATTTATTACTTACTTGACTCCAATTTACCAAGGAAAGTCAAATCAGTGAAGATTTTCTGCTAATGTAATGGCTTTTGTCAGTGGATTTAAGAGCGAGGCAGTTTCCCCACTCTTTACAGTCCTCTGTGTACCCTTAAAATTCTCCAAAGGAGCCATAGGGGTATATGGACACCTACGAGGTCTTGAGAACTGAAGATGGTCTCATCACTCAAACAGATTTCCAATATTAACTTTTAAAGTATAAAACTTGTAGTAAGTGTGTTAAAATCTAAATTGTATAGTTTATTTTTTTCTTTAACATTAAGTTTACACACTTAAAGCTAACTTCCCTAGTTTTTTATTTGGTAAATGATGTAATAGTTAACGCACTGTGCTAGGACTGTGGAGACCCATGTTCAGGTCCCTATGGATTTATGAAATGTACTGTGTAATCTTGGATTGCTTGCTGTGTCTAATCTATCCTACTTCACATAATTGTTCTGAGGGTGGGAAGTAAAACATGTACAATGAAGGATATAGAAATAATGTGAATAATAATATGAAAAAATAATGAAAAAATAATAAGTAAATGGAAGGCTTCTTTTACAAACATTAAAAGATTTTAATCATAGTATATTGAGAAAACTTGTATTCATCTAGAGCTTGTCACTGTATCTCATGGTTAGTCTGCACGGTGGTACACTGCAAGCTTATATAAAATTTATGGAAAATAAGATCTGTTTTCAGCTTTAGAAAAAGCATTTCAACTATCCTTAAAAAACTAAAGTCTTGTTAAAATTATAACTAAAGATAAAATCAGTATTAAACTCCTATAGTAAGAGTGGCCTTTAAGTATTTAGATTTCTAGTAGGAATCACGCTGATTATAGGAATATTTATTTTTTTAAAAAAAACTGTATAGCTTTTGTGTGATAACAGTGTTTCCGAGGCAGTGTCTTTCTAAGAGCGTGTTTTTCTTTTGACTTTCATGGACTTACTCCCAGGGAATAGAGATTCAAACTGAAGAGATAATGTTTCTGAAACAATGCGTACACACAGACTTCATGGAATTGTTATGTTACATTTCTGTCTGTTTGGCTCAGAAGCTCTATGCTGAGATATTCCTCATTTATATTTGTTTTTGCAGGGATCTTAGCAACATCAATTGTGAAGAGCTTGGGCCTTTGCCTCCTGGATGGGAAATCCGAAATACAGCCACAGGCAGAGTTTATTTTGTTGACCATAACAACAGGACGACACAGTTTACAGATCCACGACTATCGGCTAATTTGCACCTGGTTCTAAAGTGAGTTAATGTAGTCACTCATATCACCAATATGTGGCTAATAGCATTTAGAGTATTAAGGTAGCATTAAGGAAAGTCTCTTAGGCTTTTTAATTTCTATATGTCCATTTTAGATTAACATAATCTACAGCAGAATGTTTGATTTGCTGTAGGCATGGATTATCTTATGTCATAGAGCAGTGTTTCTCAACCTTGACAATTTTAAGGCATGTGGACTTCAACTCCCAGAATTCCACAGCCAGCAATGCTGGCTGTGGAATTCTGGGAGTTGAAGTCCACATGCCTTAAAATTGTCAAGGTTGAGAAACACTGTCATAGAGGCTAATGCTCTAATAAAGAGCATATTAAAATTGTGTTCTATTTGATAAGTCACTGATTTAGTAATAGTAATGTTACCATTGCTATTAATCATTGGTTACATTTTATTTTTACTGTTATAAAAAAAACATGTTCTGTATTTCTTCTATTCCTAACAGCCAAATTTCTCCTTAATTTCTTTTGCATCTGTCCAAATTAAAATAGAAAAGAGTGAATAGACATGAAGCATAGAAAGAAAGGAGAAAAGGGAAAAAATGAGATTCAATGTCATTTTCAATTTTGGAAGATTGGTACTTGCCTTAAATATATAATAATTTATATACAATATGAGACAATTTCTCTATGCTAATTGAAATTGGCTTTCTAATAGTAAAGTATGATTTATATTTTCAGGGTAAAAGTCCCCTAATCCAAATGGGAATTTTTCAGGAATATCTGATTACATTCCTTCTAAGGAAATTAACATCTTACATTGTTTTAAATCAAAATATAAGATAGTATTGATTTTCTCTTGATAGAATTGAAACAGAGGGACCTAAGGAAGCATTTTTAATCCAATAAAATTGGTTTTTTTTTCTACACCAGAGATTTTCCAATTTTGCTCTTGCATTTAATACTTCTTCCCAAGAGCAAAAGTTAAGCACAATTTGCTGTTGTCTAGACCAGGGGTCCCCAACCCCCAGTCTGTGGACTGGTACTGGGCTGTGGCATGCCTGAAACTAGTCCGTGCAAACAAATGAAGCCCCATTCATGGGATGCAGGCAGCATGTGAAAGAACGCCCCCTTCGATCCGTTGAAAAACCTCTTTCCACCGAACTGGTCCCTGGTGCCCAAAAGATTGGGAGGCGCTGGTCTAGACACAATTATTATTTCAGATCTTCCTAGAATATTGTTTCTAAACTCTTAATACCTTTATATCCCAACTGTGTAAATTTTAACTCACTCGATATTGAACACCCAATTCAGGAACTATTTTTCTTTACTTCTTTTTCTTAACAAAAGCCTCACAGACATGACTCGGCTTGATTAATCTGTTTATTGCAGATAAGAATAAAACAATATACTCGTGGAAGATTTATCCACTTCAGTATATTGAAATTAAAGTTGTTATATAGGTTCAGGGTTTAAATTCTAAGCTTTTCCTTCCTGTCTTTCCAAGTCAGTAGATAGCTATCCATTCTCTTGATTGCCTTGGAAGATACATGATCTGTATTGAGGTAATAGTCTGGGAACTGCTGGCTTCTGGTTTGCCAGCTTCATTCTGCATACTGTATATGGGAAATAGTTACATGTCCACTTGAGACTCCTTTTAAAAAAAATATTTAAACTATGTTTTCATAGAACAATATTTGGGAATAGGGCTCCGGGAGGTAAATTTCTTGGTTAGGTAAAACTAAAGCAGGTTTAAAATTATCTTAAAATACTTGATGTTTATATACCTGTTTTAAAACGTAATTACAAATTTTTAGAAAATCTTTTGGTTTGCATAGCTGTTTAAATATGATTTATTTATTTATTGACCAACGTGATATTACAGCAGAGTCTCTATCTGCTATCTAGAGCAAATATCAAGCACTTTCCAAAGACTTAAAAATAGGCATTTTCTGACTAACAATCAGTATAGAATATAATTTATGTTTCATATAGACTAACAAAATAGCTTAACAAATTAGGTTTCTGGCAATAGAAGGAATGTTCTATTTGTCAGGTTCTAAAATCACAGTCTGTTTTTTGCACTTCCCAAGCTACATACTTTAATTTTTTCCTTCATGCATCTGTTTTTCATTATGAAAGGATTTCAGAAATTCAGCTAACAGTGTCATCAGCAAAGTATAGTATCTGATAAATTTTATATAGCATTTGTACTTTTATTATACTATATAGGATAAGTGAAAATGTTTTCTTCTCATATTTGCACTAAAGAAGAAGTTGGCTGTTTCTGTATATTAAAAACCAGTTATGAGTATGTATGTGTTTAAGTAAGTAAATACATGATACAGGGCAGATTACATTATCAAAAGTAAAACTCAATAAAGACTACATATTAAAACTATATTGAACCATGATGCAAAATGACATATATACACACATAAGGGCTGGGAAAAAATCCTCACCCAAAAGGCAATCCACTCCCAGACTCAATAACTGGAGAGCCAGTTTGGTCTGGCATTTAATGCATCTGGTTAGAAACCAGGAGGCTGGGATTTCTAGTCTTGCCTTAGGCATGAAAGCCAGATGGGTGACTTTGGACCAGTCATTCTCTCAGCCCAACTCACCTCACAAGGTGGTGGTTGTGGAGAAAATCAATCAAGGAATTTTGGCAGGCAGGTCCAGGAGAAGGGTCTTCACTGCTGTGGCTCCTGCCCTTTGGGACATCTTACTCCCTGAGCTGAGATCGGCTCTTATCCTTCTGACCTTCTGCAAGAACATGAAGACCTGGCACTGCCAGATGGCTTGGAGCCCTTTTGGGGGAACGCCATAGCGGAGGTGGTTGTCAAATTAAGAGGCAACCCCACCTACATCCCCACATACTGTTTCCTGCCCCCATTTTTTAAGTATACTTTTATCTTTGATTGTAATTCTACTTTTATTGTTTTAAAGATATTTATCTCTTATGGTTTTAATGCTGTAAGCCACCCAGAGTTGCTTTGAAATGAGCTGGAAAGCAAATAAATCTAAAATAAATAAAATAAAATGGTATTAGATATGTTTGCCACCATAAGTTACTTATAAAGTAATAAAGGTGGGATAAAAAATAATAATAATCCAGATCTTTAAAGGCAGGCTAAATGACTTCTGGAATGGGGACACTCTTCTAAAAGGCCGGAGCATTTGACATACCACATTTGCTACCTTTAATTTATTCCTTTAATTTCTAACTATAATAATCTAAATATGGTTGGCTCCTGAGAACATTAAAAAAAACCCACTATTTTTAAAAATCCAATTGAAATTCTACCTGTTCCTGAGAAATGCTTCATGAGTTCTTTGGCCATGCCACTTAAAGCAGATAAGTTTATACATACTCTTATTTTTAAACTGAGGGTAAAGTAGAGTTGCTGGTTATAACTGCTGAGAGCAAAAAACGTGTGGCTGGAAGAATAGAAAATTCTGTCAGCCAGAATGAAGTTTAAAAACAACAGCCACAGTTTTATTACTTGGCGTAAACTAAAGAATGGAGGAAGAACGCATTTGTTGATGATGTCTTGATCTAACTTTTCTGGTTTATGTTGGCTTTGTACCCAGATTGGCAACAGTGTTTTTTTTTATATTAGTAAGCATCGTTGGCAAACCATCTGTTGACAGTAAACAAAGCATCTTGGGCACCATGGCCCATACCTGGTACTGAAAATGTCAATTACAAGAGAAACAGCCATCTGTTTGTAAAGAACAATACACTTTCATCCCTTACGATGCTGTCTAAACATTCTTATTCCATTAATCAGTGATTATTTAGTTTATAGCAAGATTCTCATAGCATAATGCAGAAAAATTTGAGAATTAAAACTGGAGAGCTCTAATATGATTCTTGCAACTATATTAACCAGATAAGGGTTAAAAAGAAGAAACAAAACTAAATGACTTGCATTCCCAGCACAAGCTATTACTAGTCAAATGGTGCTGTTTGATGAAATCTAATCCTGATCAGGATTGCAGTCTTGACCAATAGACATTAACTTTTATGAACTATAGATGTGAGTTATTGAGCAATACATTGAATTCATGTTATTCTTTAAATTTTATTAAGTATCTTCAGATGCTAATAAAGATGTAAACACTTCAAGATTATATAAATAATTACAAATAAACAGTAGGTTGAAAATTTATAAATTTAAGTCCACTATTATTTGCTCTCTTCATTCTAACAGTTAATTGAAAACACCCTTAAAATTTGTTTTGACTTATCTGTTAATATGTATGGTAATTCTTATTAAGATGATATATTCATGTATAAGATCATTTGCAGATAAGCCAACGTTTGAATTTGTAACCAAAATGCCACAAAAAATGTGCCAATTGTGGATAAGCCAACTGTGAAAATTATGACACACTAAATTTCAAGAGTTGGTTTATGTGGGAGTGGTACATTTTTCTTGATATTTTGGTTAAAAATTGAGGGTCATCTTATCTATGAATGGACTTATCCATGTGTTTATTTGTTTAAGTCTTCACTGAATTTTTTATCAACATTTTGATAAACAATAAAATCATGGTTGTGTTCTATTATCTATCAAAATTGTTGTGTTCCATCTATATTTGCCTCTTGTTTCTAGTAAAATTAATGAATTTGATTGACAAGGTTGGCTTTGTTTATCACTGGCTTCTGCTAATTATTGGAAGAGACAATAAATTATGTTTCTCCACATTGTGGCTACTAAGAACTATATTACTTTCACAGTTCCATCTGACATTTTATATAGCCTTCTAAACAATCAGATTTAGACATTTTTTCTTAACAAAACTTTTATTCTGAAATGATTCTACTAAAATGCTGCACATTTTGGCATGAGTTTGTAACTATAAAAAATGTCAGAAGGTCCTACCTTGAATATATCATGTTTTCATCCTTCACTGTCTGAACATATTTTTTAAACACTTTTCTTAATAGCTAGTGAAAATATTCATTTATCTGTGCCAAGTGTAAAATTGCCTGCATTCCTGTGGTTAAGACAAATTCAGGTACAGTGGATACTATCTTAGCCATACTCTGTCTACATGCATTTTTGTAAATTAACTTTTCAGGTAAAGCAATTAAAAACAATTAAAATGGTATTCTTTTACACTGTGTTTTGACACACCTAAACATCTTGGAAAAATAGGGCAGTTTGAGACATTTTGAGTAATAATGCCCATATTATGCTCTGATCTATTTATTTTTTTTTATAAATAAACTACTGGAAATGTTCCGTACTAAAAGAAGCAGAGGTATGTGCTCTTCCAGGCTCCTCAAGAGAATGTTGATAGAATAGTTACACACTGAATTTTTTTTTTTCCACGTGTTAGCTCACATGCATTTTGTGGAAGTCATGGAAATGAGAACAACTGGAAGTCTTGGAATCTTGAAAGCCAATGTCGCTCTGTTTCTTTTCAGCCGTCAAAATCAACTTAAAGACCAGCCGCCACAGCAGCAACAAGTTGTTTCGCTCTGCCAGCTTTCAGACGAGGCTGAATGTCTCACTGTGCCAAGGTATAAACGAGATCTAGTACAAAAACTCAAGATTTTGAGGCAAGAGCTCTCCCAGCAACAGCCCCAAGCTGGACATTGTCGTATAGAGGTCTCCAGGGAAGAGATTTTTGAGGTAATGTGAGAATTATAAATTATTGCTGAATTAAAATAAAAGCCAGTACCTATTACTATGGTGATCTGGGATTTTGCACTACAAATGGAGGCGTTATTGAGGTACAATGCATACAAGTAGTCCTTGGCCTATAACCATTTGTTTAATGACCATTCAAAGTTCCAGTGACAGAGAAAAAAGTGACCTATCACTATTCTCACACTTACGATCATTGCAGTATCCGCAAGGTCACGTGATCAGAATTCAGATGCTTGGTAACTGGCATGTATTTATCATGGTTGCAGTGTCCTGGCGTCATGTGATCACCTTTTGCAACCTTCTGACAAGCAGAGTCATTGAGGAAGCCAGATTCACTTAATAGCTGTGTTATTAACTTAACAACTGCAGTGATTCACTTAACAACTCTGGCAAGAAAGTTCATAAAATGGGGTAAAACTCACTTAGCAACTGTCTTGCTTAGCAACAGAAATGTTGGGCTCAGTTGCGGTTGTAAATCAAGAACTACCTGTATTTTGAGTAGGGGCTTGTGATTTCATGGAGACAACATCCTTCTGGTAAAGTCTGAAATTCATCATTTGTTTATGTTCTCTACAGTCTTTTTCAGAATTAAGTTATTTTTCTTCAATTGATAGGACTTGCATTAGAATAAATATGGATAAGACCAAATAAGATAACTTTGCAGGGTGGTTTCTGGGGATCTTGCATGAATTGTGTAAATTATATTGGAAGAGTATAGGTTTCCTATAAAACATAAAAGACATAAAAGATATACTTTTTTTTCCTTAAGTAAACCAGGTACTGAACAGAACGTACCATATGTACTTGAATTTATAAAACCTATGCAAGCATCATCTCTGAACACTAAAGGCATTTTTATTGATCTGACAATCAAGAATAAAACTTTATTAATTAAGGCAGTAATGTCAATTTTATACAGTCTAGTAAAACATAAGAAGTATTCGGCTCATAGGTACCTGATGTAATTGCAGGAGTCTTATAGACAAGTCATGAAGATGAGACCGAAAGACCTATGGAAGAGATTAATGATAAAATTCCGTGGGGAAGAAGGCCTTGATTATGGTGGTGTTGCCAGGTAAATAAATCCAGCTTAAAATATATAATGTTTTGGCTTTTTTTAAAAATATGATAATTGAACTAACTTTAGTTCCTACTACTTTTGAGAGCAGTATTGGAGGCAATGTTCTGCAATTTCTGGTAATATTTAAATGCAACTTAGTTAGCACATTGGTAGCATTTCATGGACCAAACCTATCCTTCAATTTGACATCTTTTTAGAAGGCAATATGTATAACGTAATAAGGTATTCAGCACCAATTAAGCCTTTTATTCTCATAACCACTTGATTTCCTTTGCTAGACCATTGCCAGGGATTGACCTTGGAAACGTATATGCTCAAAGTTTGCTTTTTACCACCCCAAATTGGGAAGTATGACCAATAAAGAACTGACAAGAGCTAAGAACAGATAAAAGTCTAAAGTCAAGCTCAAATCCTACTAATTTAATACAAGTGTTCCATATTAATCACAATACAAAAGTAATTTCCCATTGTATTCTTCTGGAGGTGTTTTTTGACTTTCCAGTCTAACCTGCCAAAAGTTTTACAAACCTGATACTACTTGCTAGTCTCTCATCCAAGTATTAAATAACTTTGACTTTCAACTTGACTTTGACTTTCAACTTTGATTTTGGCCAAATTTGTTTAAGAGCTGGTAGATTTCTCTAATGCACTTATATCCACAGTGATTATAACAATTTTAGAGTAATTATTGCACTGAAATATTTAGGCTTATAAAATATTTAGTGTAAAATTATTTACACTAATAAGGCTCCACCTTGTGGTAATGTTTCATAAAGCAAACCTTGCATTGCCTGATTTTGCGTGAAATCGTATTGTTTTAAATACTAGGCATGATCTAGTCCATTATAGCTAATTCTGGAATGGGAGGATGGAAAAACAAAACAAAACAGGAAGGCAAATGTAGTGGGGAAAAATGGATTCAAAAGGAAATAATTTTGGAGACCAACAGCTACAGTTCCAACTATCCAGATATAAACTGGGAGACAAACTCTGCAGCGAGTGGAGATCAGACAGATTCCTAACCAACCTAGCTGACAACTTTGTCATCCAAAAGGTGGAGAAAGGAACTAGAAGTAAAGCTATACTGGATCTAATTCTTACTAATAGAGAAGAAGTGATAGAGGGAGTTGAAGTTGCTGGAACCTTGGGTGAAAGTGACCACGTCATATTGGAATTCAATATAATGCAAACACAAGCAATAGAAAATAATCCAACCAGTGTCTTAAAATTCAAAAGAGCTGATTTTAACAAACTCAGAAAAAACCTAGGAAAGATTCCATGGATGAAAATCCTAAAGGGGAAAACAACTCAAGAAGCATGGAAAACTCTAAAAAATGCAATCATAAAAGCCCAGTCCAGCACAATACCACTGAAAAAGAAAAATAAGAAACTCAAGAAGAAACCAGCATGGCTGCACAAAGATCTCTTTGACAAACTGAATGTCAAAAAGGACAAGTACAAAAAATGGAAAGAGGGCCACATAACTAAGGCTGCTTATCAGCAGACAGCCAGAACATGCAAAGGTTAAGTCAGGAAAGCAAAGACTCAGGATGAACAAAGACTTGCAACAGAAATCAAGGACAGTAAAAAAAGTTTCTTTCAACATATTAATAACAAGAAAAAAGTCAAGGAAACTGTAAGTCCACTGAAGTAGAGCTCCCCAACTTTTCCAGCTTGGAAGGAAAGGGGGGAGCAGGGAAATGTTCCCCCGCACGTGCATGTGCAAACAGGCCACAAGTGCCCACGGAAATAGGCTGCTAGTGCCTGTGTGATGCTGATGGTGCTAGCACACCTGCACATGCGCAAACAGGGCTGCTAGCACCTGTGTGGTGGCACTATCGTGAGTGGGGGGGCTCACCAGCTATTCCTGCACCCCGGTGGCCAATAGGCCACAGCCTGATACCAGGCCACAGACCATAGGTTGGGGATCCCTGCACTAAAGAGAGAAGATGGCAAGAAACTAACAAGCAGTAGGGAGAAAGCAGAGCTGCTTAACTCATTCTTTGCATCAGTCTTCACACAAAAAGAAATTATAGCCCAACATACCAAAAAAGCAACATATTCCAAAAGACAAACTAGAAACAAAAATTAAAGTAAGCAAGAAAATAGTAAGAGAACACCTATCCGACCTTGACAAATATAAATCACTGGGGCCCACAGATTACATCCCAGAGTTCTGAAGGAGCTGACAGGTGTTATCTCAGAGCCATTTCACCATATCTTTCAAAAATCCTAGAGCACTGGGAAAGTACTTGAGGATTGGAAAAGGCTGATGTGGTTCCCATCTTCAAGAAAAGGAAAAAAAAAACCACCCAGGAAACTACAGACCAAACAGTCTAACATCCATACCTGGGAAGATCCTGGAAAAGATAATCAAAAAACAGATCTGTGAACAACTAGAAGCAAACAAAGTTATAACTAGTAGCCAGCATGGGTTTGTTAAAAACAGATCATGCCAAACCAATCTTATTTCATTCTTTGATAAAGTGATTAAATTAGTAGACCAGCGAAATGCTGTGGACATAGTATACTTAGATTTCAGTAAGGCATTTGACAAAGTAGACCACAACCTAGTTCTTGGTAAGCTAGCAAAAGATGGAATAGACAACATCACCACCAGATGGATTTGTAGCTGGCTGACAAACCGTACTCAATGAGTAGTCCTCAATGATACCACATCCATACGGAGAGAAGTAAGCAGTGGGGTACCACAAGGCTCTGTTTTAGGCCCAGTACTCTTCAATATCTTCATAAATGACTTAGATGAGGGAATAAAAGGGGAACTCATCAAATTTGCAGATGACACTAAACTGGCAGGAATAGCCAACACCTCAGAAGACAAGCTCAGGATCCAAAAAGATCTTGGCAAACTTGAATAATGGGTCCGAGCCAACAAAATAAATTTTAATGTGGAGAAAAGCAAAGTTTTATATTTAGGCAATAAAAATCAAATGTATAAGTACAGATTAGGCGAGACCTGGCTCAAAAACAGTAACTGTGGGAGGGACCTTGGAGTCCTAGTGGATGATCACTTGAATATGAGCCAGCAGTATGCGGCAGCAGCCAAAAAAGCTAGTACACTCCTTGGTTGTATAAACAGAGGCATAAAATCAAGATCATGTGAAGTATTAGCACCGCTTTGTAAAATCCTAGTAAGACCACACCTGGAATACTACAACCAGTTTTGGTCACCATACCACAAAAAGATGTTGAGACTTTGGAAAAAGTTTAGAGAAGAGCAACTAAAATGATCAAAGGCCTGGAGGCTAAAACATATGAAGAACGGCTGCAGGACTTGGGTTTGGCTAGTCTAAAGAAAAGAAGAAATAGGGGTGACATGATAGCAGTATTCCAGTATTTGAGGGGCTGCCACCAAGAAGAGGGGGTCAAATTATTTTTCAAAGTGCCAGAGGGCAGGACAAGAAACAATGGTTGGAAACTGCTCAAAGAGAGGAGCAACCTGGAATTAAGGAGAAACTTTGTGACAGTGAGGACAATTAACTAGCTTGGAACAGCTTGCTCTCAGAAATTGTGGGTGCTCCATCACTGGAGGTTTTTAAGAAGAGATTAGACAATCACTTGTCTGAAATGGTATAGATCAGTGTTTCTCAATCTTGACCATTTTAAGGCATGTGGACTTCAACTCCCAGAATTCCACAGCCAGCAATGCTGGCTGTGGAATTCTGGGAGTTGAAGTCCACATGCCTTAAAATGGTCAAGGTTGAGAAACACTGGTATAGATCCTCCTGCTTGAGCAGAGGGCTGGACTAGAAGACCTCCAAGGTCCCTTCCAGCTCTATTCTATTCTAATTTCTTGAACAGTTCTGTCTTGTACAACTAAGGAAATGAGGAATGGGTTGGTTCTTAATCTTTTATATTTGTACTGTACATAAACATCAGCCAGTGATTTATGAGCCTCTTAGTAGCAAACCCTCTTTCCTTCCATTCAAATTTAATCCACAGCTTTCTTTAGTAATGTTTTATCTATATTGTTAAAGTAGAATAGGGTGCTTCTAAGTAATGTTCGGCAGTTGTCTTCCAATTCAATTCATTTTGGCATGAACAAACCTATCGGCAATGAGATTAAGTGAATCAGAGCCAGAAAAGTAAATCTCTGAAAGGCTGGGAAATTCTATTCATTGGTGGCGAGAGGAGGTTTCCGTTACTTAAGCTAATATTTACCAAGGGAAACAAGTTTATTTAGCACTTCAAAATGTAAACTTTTAAAGAAATAGCAAGTGATGGCATATTCTAGCATGCTAAGGCTGAGTTGAACCATATGCCATGAGATTGTCATAATCAGAATTACATTTCCAGTGAGCAGAAGCAGTAAAAAAAAAGTTTCATGGTAATTTAAATTCCTAAGACATACTTGTATGTTTTGTGCCCTTAAATTAATATGCTGTATTTTAAATCTAAAAAAAGTAAATGCCAACAGTTCTAATTGGATTAATGATTTCTTTTCTTTTATTTTCCTTTTTGTACATACAATTTTAAATAGAAAAAAATTGTTCGGTTTAGCTAAAAAGCTGGTTTTTCTTTTACTTTTTCTTTTGGCTTGTCTGAATAAATATAATCTTAACGCTTTACTTGTTTGTCTCTTTTTCTTAAATACAAAATAATAAAATACAGCTTGAATATCACTATGTAATTTCTACCCGGTGTTTTCTTCCCAGTGTACTTCCTTACTTTACAACAGAGTACTTCTCCATGGAAATACAGCTAGTCCTCGACTTACAGCCGTTTATTTAGTGACCATTCAAAGTTACAAAGGCACTGAAAAAAGTGATTTTATGATCATTTTTCACATGACTGTTGCAGCATCCTCATGGTCACGTGAACGAAATTTGGAAGCTTGGCAACTGGCATGTATTTATGATGGTTGCAGTATCCCGGGCGTGTGTGTGTGTGTCATGCAATCACCTTTTGTGTCCTGACAAGTAAAAGTCATTGGGGAAGCCAGATTCGCTTAACAACCGCGTTATTTATTTAACAATAGCAGTGATTCACTTAACAAGTATGGCAAGAAAAGTGGTAAACTGGGGCAAAAGTCACAAAACAGCTGCTTAACAACAGAAAGGTTGAGCTCAATTCTGATTGTAAGTCAAGGACTATCTGTATAAAATGCTAGGCAAAGAACTAAAGCTGCTTCTCTCTTTTCTTGCCACCCTAATCCTGCTTAGCCTTTGTCCCAATGATTTCTTCCAAAATTTCATTTTTTGCCCCACTCCTTCCAAAATTTAACAAAGAAACTTGTATAGATTTCAAACACTTGTTGGCACCTGTTTTTTCAGGGTGCTGAATTTTGCAAGCAGTATAGTTGCTAAATTGTTCCTTGCTACAAATGGAGTATGAAATGATGAAAGCTCAGGCCAGGCAGTAAGATGCTGAATTCAGACATTGTAAAGTGTTGGCCTTAGGGCACAATAATGAATAATTGTGTTTCCTCTTTGGGACATATTATCACCTTTTGCCTAAAAGCTTCATTGAAAGTTGTCTTTTTGTGCAATGTTTGTGTTTTCTTCAGGGAATGGCTGTATTTGCTATCCCATGAAATGCTGAATCCGTATTATGGCCTCTTCCAGTATTCCCGTGATGACATCTATACTTTACAGATAAATCCAGATTCTGCTGTTAATCCGGTATGACAAAATACTTTAAGGCTTATGCTGCATTTGACCAGCAGGTTTAAATAAATGTGAGCCATTAGATTAAAAAAATGAATGAGCACAAATCTGCTAAAAAGTTTATGTTGTAAAAAAACATTAGGCTAAATATAAGGACATTATATTCTGTGATGGCGCAGTGGTTAGAATGCAGAATAATTGCAGGCTAATTTTGCCGACTGCCAGCAATTCGATTCTGAGTGGCTCAAGGTTGACTCAGCCTTCCATCCTTCTGAGGTTGGTAAAATGAGGACTCAGATTGTTGGGGGCCATAGGCTGACTCTGTAAAATGCTTAGAAAGGGCTGCAAGCGTAAATGCTATAGCTATAGCTATTATTTAATCATAAGAGTGGCTTAGAAAATGAGTTTTTGAATAGAAATAATTCATACACAATCAGATGTTCATTGGTGGAAGTAAAACAAATGCTTTTATTACTCTTACTTATCTTGTGATATTTGATAGAACCTGCTGTACAGTAGAATATGCTTAGAAATTGTGCTAGAAGAGTCTGATTTGATCCTGATTATATATGTTCTTTCAATTCCAGGAACATTTATCCTACTTCCACTTTGTTGGTCGAATCATGGGGATGGCTGTATTTCACGGACATTATATTGATGGGGGCTTTACGTTGCCTTTTTATAAACAGCTGCTAGGAAAGCCAATTACATTGGATGACATGGAACTAGTTGACCCAGATCTTCACAACAGCTTAGTATGGATACTGTATGTACTTACCCTTTAAAATTATACTGTTTCTGGAATGGATATATACTACTCATTTTTATTTAGTGGCTTTGTTAAATGAAATTAGGATTATTTAAATTCTTTCAGATTTCCACTCCTTGCCTCTTGAAGGTTATTATTTCTTTTGAGATGCTCTGTGGCAAAAATATAAAGGATGCATTTTTAATTTTTCTTAAATTTATTATTGTTCCAAAATTTCTCCCATATACCTGAATTTACTCACATACTGTACCTCTCCATTAATTCAGTAAACATTATGTTTATCGACAACTAGAAGTAATCTACCACATGCCAGAAATTCATCCGCCCTTCGCCTCTTAAACTGAAACTAGGAGAAACAACTATTCTGCAATTGTCATTTTAGTTTCATAATCGTTTGAGAGCCGCTCAGGGAGACTGATAGCTTTGGACAGTCTCAATTTTGAGTGGGAAGGTTCTTCATATTTCAGAATGTTTTAGAATTTCATTAATTCTTTTATGAGAAAAGTTTAGTGAAGAAAAAAAAGGGGAAAATACGCCACCTATTTAGATAGATATTGTATTGTTTTGTTTGAGACTAAAAATGCACAGTATGCCTAGACACTCACATTTTAATTATTTTTATGTCTTTTTTTTTTCAGGGAGAATGATATTACAGGAGTCTTAGACCACACATTTTGTGTGGAGCACAATGCATATGGTGAAATCATACAGCATGAACTTAAGCCCAATGGCAAAAGCATTCCTGTCACAGAAGAGAATAAAAAAGAATATGTCAGGTATTTTAAAAGTTTACTTGTTAATGGTGTTCTGTCCAGAGAGAATTGTCATAAATTAATAAGGTACATTTAGCACCTAAATGTTTTGTATTAATTTATTTTACAATATTTTGATTGCCTTCCCCCTGTGCCTTAGAGCCGTTATTTCAGATAACAGAATCTGCAGTTTGTGAACAGAAAAAAAAAAACCATTGAAGTGACAATTGTGCTTCTTTACAGGTTATATGTAAACTGGCGGTTTTTAAGAGGAATTGAAGCTCAGTTCCTGGCTCTGCAGAAGGGTTTTAATGAAGTAATTCCACAGCATCTGCTGAAAACATTTGATGAGAAGGAACTAGAGGTTAGTTTGTTAATTATCAATGTTTTTCTTCTATATGGGGTGTGTGTGCGTGAGAGAGGGCATGTGGGAACTTTTCCTCTTTTCTGATGCATTTTCAGCAAAAATCATGCAGACGCATAGAATATGTAGATTCTCAGATAAACACAAGAGAGGCACAAAGTTGTGCTTTGTAAATGTGGCCAGTAACCGGAGCTTAAGATGAGCAGCTCATGAGATGTTTATAGAAGTCCTGTCTATAAGATCTTATCATTGTAAACCAGATTTAGCTAATATGAAAAGATGGAGAAGTCTGTAACATTCTCTCCTTTATGAGCTTTGTCGTTCTCGTTCTGTTTTGTTCTGTTCTATTCTGTTCTGCTAGACTGCCAGTTCTCCTCACTCCAAAAACAGAAGTTCCAGATCTGCCTCTTGCTAGAAACTGGCCAGTTGGAAAAAGAATGCCTGCCAGCCCCAAACTCCCCTGGCTAGAATAATATGTATTGGTTTTATTTAAATTTAAACGAAATAACATCACACTGAATATTTGTTTTTGCCCAAATTACTTTGCAATATGGTCCCCAGCAGGACCCTCAAAAACTTGTGAGATCTTCAGTCTGGAAAACATCATAGATTACTGAGCTAAATGGTAGCTTCTGGCAGCTTCTGAATCAAGTCATACATTTCATAGAAAAAGAATTTTGATCACCATTTCCTACATAACGTCCCATATATTCTACCCCTTGTACGGTTGATCTTACTTACGAGACTTGTCAGATATAGAAAATATGTGCCCTTTTGTTTATTTGTTTTCAGTTTTTATGATGCCCACTTGCCAAGCAATTCTGGCTAGCTGTTAAAATTGGGACCACTTCTGTTTGGGGGAAAACAATGCCTTCAGTCATCAAATTGGAAACTGATTACTATTTCATACTGGTCATAAGGTAATTGTCATTAAAAGTTAAACATTGATCTTTCACATGTGCTGTTTTCAATAGCTCATCATTTGTGGCCTTGGGAAAATAGACGTGAACGACTGGAAGGCCAACACAAGGTTAAAACATTGCACCCCCGATAGCAACATTGTCAAGTGGTTCTGGAAAGCTGTGGAGCTCTTTGATGAAGAGAGGAGGGCTCGATTGCTACAGTTTGTGACCGGATCATCCAGAGTGCCTCTTCAGGGTTTCAAAGCATTACAAGGTAAAAACAATAATCTCTATGGCTGTCTTGAGTCCAGTTTACTGCCACAAATGTTATCCTTTCCAAAGTAGTGTTTCATAATATGTACTGCAAAACAGATTTTTGATTTAAGTACCTGAACTGAAATGTGTGGCAGCTTTAATCGTATTTGAAGGGGCCATGGCTACTCACGCCCTATTTTCAGTGGGTAAACCTGTATGCAGTTCAGTTTAATTTCATTTATCAATTTACTTCGTCTAGTCATCCAAATCTTGGCATTATTTGATACATTTAATTTGACCATAGTTGTCTTGGTAATAATTCCCATTTATTTTGCAGAGTATCAAACTCATATCTCAGATTTTCTTGGTTTTACTTTATTTTCATGGGCACAGTGGGATCCACGTCTTGCATGCTGTGGCCCATAGCATATAACTTGAATTTTATAAGTATGCTAGTTTCTGGTTCACGAAGGACATATCTTTAGAAACAGTATATGCTTCTGAAGTTGTTTTACACGTTAATTGAAATATAACTTTGATTTGTATAATTAGTGGTAATCCAGTGTCCAGCAAAAAGTCTTAGATCAACCTTAATGGAGTATATTTGGGGAAGAAAGAACTTCCTCAATAAGATATACTATGCACACGTGTACCTTGTATTGACATGTGCTTGCTCACATGCACATCCTTCCTTGTGCAGTATAATAGTGTTTGCTTCATTGACCTGTAGTATGTTCTTTGATTAATGCCGTATAATACAGGTAGTCCTCGACTTACAATCTTTTATTTAGTGACCATTCAAAGTCACAAAGGTACTGAAAAAAGTGACTTATGACCATTTTTCACATGACCGTTGGCAGCATCCCCATGGTCATGTGATCAAAATTCGGGTGCTTGGCGGCTGGATTATAATTATGACAATTGCACTATCCCAGGATCATGTGATCCCCGTTTGTAACCTTCCCATCTGACTTCTGACAAGCAAAGTCAATGAAGCTGGGTTCACTTAACGACTGTGATATTCACTTAACATCTACAGTGATTTGCTTAACACCTGTGGCAGAAAAGGTCATAAAATTGGGCAAAACTCACTTAACCCCTGCCTTGTTTAGCAATGGAAATTTCGGGGTCAGTTGTGGTCGTAGGTTGAGGACTACCTGTATTGAACAGCATTGTCTTTGATGCAATTCCAGGTGCTGCTGGCCCAAGACTGTTTACCATTCACCAGATTGATGCCAGCACAAATAATCTGCCAAAAGCTCATACCTGGTAAGTCAGGAGTTGTTCTCTGTTAGCCTTTTTCTATATTGAAGTTATGCAATTAATTAGAGATGTGGTTGTTAATGCTTCAAGTTCACTATAGGGTCACGTTACAGAAACTATTAATGAAAAGAATTCAGCATTGGTTATGCTGGAAATGTTATGGTATAAAATGAAAGATTATCCATGTTTATAAGTTGCATGTATGCTGACTTACTTTTTCAGTTTTCCCGCTCAACTAACAATCTGATAAAAATCTCAAAGCTCTTAAAGGCACAGATGGACTCCACAGTCAATTGAGATAGACCAGTTCTGTGGTACATTAATTTTCCAAATGATGTCAAACTTCAGTTCCAGCATCTCTCAACAATGGTCGTGGTCCCTTGGACTTTGTGGAATTGTAATTCAACAATACCAAGAGGGGCAACCTTACAAGACCCAGTGTTTGTGTTGGTTCCATCAAAGTGGGTTTTCACTTGAAATTAAAACTTTAACATGTTAATATTTTCCCGTTACTGCTAGTTGTTTTTTGTGCCAAGAGTTTCCTAAATATTAACGCAATCTGTGTGTCACATTGTTATAGTAATTTTTCAGCCATGTGTATAACTTCAGTATGTTATTTTTAAAATATTTTTTAAAAATTGATTAGCTTTAGGTAAGCTAATATAAAATCCCTCCTTCGGTTTGTAAAATTTGATTGTCTGATACTCTAGGTTTAAGTAAACTCAAATGCACATGGTGATCAAGATTCAAACCTTGAAATGTGTCAACAAACCCTGTCTACATGCATAAGGGAACCCAAATATTTACACTCATTTAGATAACTAACATAGTTTACTCATTTTAAGTCACTTGAATCACAATAAGTGGTTCTTTTGTGAGAACATTAATGTGTGAGCTGAAAATAAAACTATAAAGATCACGGAATTTGCCTCAGTAAATTGCCAGATCACATTTTGCAAACCTTGGTGTACTGATGTCAATTGATTACTTATTGGAAGAGAATTTCTTTAATGTCATTCCAGTGTTTCATTTTGGAGGACAAAATAGGCAAGCAATTTCGCCAATAATCTGCATCTATCTGTGTTTACATTCAGAATTGCTGATACCGTGTGAGTGAAATCCAAAGAGTAGGTGTATGTGTGGAATTCTGATACTCAGTCCAGGTGTACCTATTGAAAATAAACTCTATCATTTACTTGGTGGCTTATCTCAGAATGATAGAGTTCCAGATGACTGCTCTGTTTTCTGTATTTTATTTCGATCTTGGAGTGGTGTAATGTTGCTTCCTCATCATGAGCTCTATGATTATATAAATCATTATATAAATCATAGAGGTAGAAATAAAGATTATTCATTTCTACCCAACTCGGTTGGGACCCTTCTCTGGTGGGAACCTTGCCCACTATGTATGCCACAGAGTTAAACGCAGCACCCATCTCTGTGGTATTCACATTGTTTGTGGTGACAGTCATCCTTCATCTTCATCCTTTAACATCATTGTATTTAAATTATTTAATTTTCTTTCTTTTAACCTTCCTCTGCTCTCCCACAAATAATAAATCAATCCTTGGAAAGGTGTTTATCAATCCACTCTTGTCCTCCTTTCATAATCCTTACCATTTGGGCCATATTTCACAAGGCAGTATAGAAACAAACTCCTCACTCTTAGATGGGTATTTATTTTGATTTCTTTTATTATTATTTTTTGCACTAGAGAAGATCACACAGAAGATTGACATGTTTACAAAACTGGCATTTAGAGAATTGGTACTTGTAGTCCTTGTTTACCTAATAACTTGCTTAACAACCATTACGAGAGTTGGAAAAAGAAGCAGTTTTGTAACCAGTTCTTGTATTTACGGCTGTTACAGTGTCTTGCAATCACAAGATTGCCATTTGTGAGTTTCACAACCAGTTTCCAGCAAGCAGAATTGACGGAGTGCAGACATGAAATTATAAGTTATTATCATGTGAGGTCTCATTTTAAGGGCTAAGGTGATTTCCTTAACAACTGAAGCAGAAATGAGATTTTAAGTCCAGCATGTTCATATGATTTTTCATGTAGCAATGTTTAATGTAACTTAGCAACTGAGTTGACAGTCCTAGTTGTGGCTGATAAGCAAGGACCACATCTACAACATGCAATTTTTTTTCCCAGTTCTCATCCTTATGATTCCAAGCTTATTGAAGAAAGCAAGAGACTTTAGGGCGCAAAGCCAACTATTGTACTCTCAAATTCTTACCACATCAGGAACCTTTTATAGAGGGAAAGGAGAGGGAACTGCTCTTATTTTAATAATTACTGTCTAATTCTGTGCTATACAGGAGAGGTTAAATCAGTTTTCCAATATTCTTTGCCCACAGTCAGGCTTTGTTGCTGCCGCTACCACTGCCTTATCCAGAAATCAGATGATGCAATTAAAATTTAAATGTTGTTATGGGCAGATTAATAGCCAGATAAAACAATTGATCAACTGTATCTTCCTTTTGATATATCTTCTATATTTGTCTTCTCTTATTCTGCCAGGACCAGCATTTATTTTGGGCCTTCCAAGATCTAAGGCAGTGTTTCTCAACCTTGACAATTTTAAGGCATGTGGACTTCAACTCCCAGAATTCCACAGCTAGCAATGAAGTCCACATGCCTTAAAATTGTCAAGGTTGAGAAACACTGATCTAAGGGCTGATGCTCTCCCACCAGCATTTCTCTAATGTATAGTAGCAACCATTGAGTTACAAGCTGGCTAAGCAGCAATGGCCCTTCTAATTTACGCTCATTTTTTTAATAACACCCAACAGCTTTCCTTCAAAGAATTCACTTACTGAAGCTGTGGCCAGGCAGCTACATGGGCTCAGCAAAGACTAGATCTGTTTCTCCCAGAGAAGTGTTGTCTTTGCAAGAACTCTCTCTGGCCACTTTATGATGACCAGGCAACCCCCTCTCTGGGTAAGCTGCTGGCTTGCTACTCATCTGTCTGTGTGAATCACAGAGCCCATAATGAAGAAGTGGTTTCATTTAATTGCAGTGTTTCAAATGATACCCCTATGTGTCCTATCTTCAGATTCTCCTTAGTCTCAGAGGACCTAATACTTTGGATCAGGGATGTCAAACTCAATTTCACTGAGGGCCGCATCAGCACTGCGGTTGCCCTTGGGGGGGCGAGTGGGTGTGGCCTACTGGGTGGGCATGGTGAGTGCTACTTCATTCGCGTCATGGGGGCCTGGACAGAAGTGGGACAGATCTGAGGGTCTCTGGCAGAAGGGGGTGGGACCAGGGCAAGTGCCAAGGCATGGTCCACCGGGGCAAGTGCCAAGATGGCCACCACAAAATTGTACATTGGCTCCTGGCTGGCCAGGGCCAAGGCAGTGGGGGCCGTTTCCTCACTGTTTCCAGGATGGCTTCGTGGGCCACATGAAACCACTTTGTGGGCCGCATCCAGCCCCCGGGCCTTGCGTTTGACATGTCTGCTTTGGATAAATGTTCTTCTGAACTGAAGAGTTCAGCAGGAACTGTGCTAGTAATGTAATACTCCCGGATGGCTCTAGAACTTTCTCCAATATTTTGTTCATGTTTTTATTTAGCATTGGTTTCACTAGTCACTATTTAGTGAAGAACAAAGTCTGTGTTTCCCTACTACTGTGCAAAAACCTCTGTGAGAAACGGTGAGCAAAGAGTGAGTGACTGGCCCAAAGTGAATCTCTGTGGTTGAGAATGGGCACGAATCTGCATCTCCCCACTAATCCAACTCAGTTACAATTTGAGCACATTGTCACTAGACCAGTGATGGAGAACCTTTTAGAGACTGAGTGCCCAAAAATGGCCCCGTCCTGTTCCACTCCTTGCTCTGCCCCCCATCCCCCGCCCTGTCTGCCCACAGGACCACTCACTGCCTCCAGGGCCCGCCGCAGATCGCCCAGGCAGCCCAGCAGCACTATGGCGGCCACACCCTCTGCCTGCGCCCTGCAGCATCAACTGCATGATGGGGTGTGAGGGCAGAGTCTTGTCTACGCTGCCTGGCTGTCATGTCCTTTGCTGCGCTGCTCCGTGTGGGCCACGCTCGGGGGTGACTCTCCTTCAGGGGGGCTGCTGGAGAGGAGGGGGTCGCGGGGGGAGGCAAGGCTGGGGCAACGGCACGTGTGCCCACAGAGAGGGCTCCGAGTGCCGCCTCTGGCACCCGTGCCATAGGTTCGCTGCACTGCAGTAGATTCTACAAGTTTCTAAATGAGCTTTGCAAAATGCACAACTTATTTGCGGGGATTCAGAGATGATCAAGAAAATCCAGTTATAGATAAGCAACCAGTTTTATCTACGTTGGTCCAATATATGTCTTCTGCTAGTTGGATCTAGTTTCTATCCCGTAGGAACTGTTTTCTTATAACAATAACACACCATTAAAAATATGTAATGCACCATTATTGATCAGTATTAGTTGCCTTGCCTATTTGAACCATGAACATCATAAGTTGAAATGCTTCTTCTTTGTTGTTTGCTTGCAGCTTCAATCGGATAGACATTCCTCCTTACGAAAGCTATGAGAAGCTCTATGAAAAGCTGCTAACCGCCATTGAAGAAACATGTGGGTTTGCCGTGGAATGATTGTTTGCAGACGTGCGTGGAACTCTATTTATACTCCAAGCAGAAAATCCTTTCCTCAGCCATGATACCATAAATGCTTGAAATATAGGAAACTCCCCTCCCCTTTTCTACTAGAGGACGATATGAGGGAAAGGACCATTTTTGGAATTCTTCATTCAAGAAAAATGTTCTGTGGCTGCTGCCAAGAAATAATTCAGCTGCTATTAAAAACTAGTATCTTGAACCTGCAGAATGCTGACTTTTCCTTCATTTCAACAGTTAAGCAGTATTCTCTTTGAAAGACGACTACTATTTTTTATAAAAGGTGATCTTATTTGTTTGCTTACCTGATTTCTACTATCAGAGGCCCAAGGGATAGCTCTTGGTACAAGCCACATTCCAGCTTATATACATGTGATTCTGGATAAGCACCTGTACTTGCTATTTTTTTAAATAAAGTATTTTGATTATTCTGATTTTTGCATAAAATTGGCTAAACGGATCACAAACCTTTTAAAGTAAGGCCACTTCACAGTGTAAACTATATTTTCTTATACAGTGGAATGATTTTATTCTGTGTTACAAGTTTAATTTCAGTGGTCCTGTGTCAGGATTCTTATATTTCTCGAGCATGAATTATAAGGTTTGGGTCTTTTCTTCAGTCAGATTTCTCTAGCAGAAGCTTAGTCCGAATTAAATTGCACTGCATTTGGTACAGTACTTTGTGGTAAATGTGGAAAGCCCTTTTTAAAAATGTAGGCATTCAGCATTTTTTAAATGAGCATTTTTTGTAAAAAGTCAATACTTGAGGCGTTTTTTTTTTTTAAAAAAATTGCTTTCCATTTTAAATGGAAGTGCTGCATTTTTTTAAGACTCCTAAATATATATGGATGATATCATTAGCCTTCATAGATCATCAGTTGATTGTTCAAAAACACTCTGTGGATGTCAAATCAACCAAAGCTTTTATGTTCAGATACAACCAACCTGCACTGTATGTTAGTTGTTGCTCAATAATCTGATCCAGAAAAAAATTGCCTTTACTTTGAACTGCTTGTAGTCAATGAGTTTGTGGTAGTGACGAATAAGGGAGGGGGGAGACACAATACAGTCAATTCAGCGATGAAATGCCGATGTGGTGTATAATGTGCTCTGTTAAGTAGCTGGTTCAGATACATAGGAATTTGTCTTTGTTTTAATGCAAGCATATGTGGAATGCTTAAAAAACAAAAGGCATCTTCTAATACTGGTGGCTTATATACATTTGAACACAGTCCTTAATTGTTAAGGTGTGCATTTGTCGAAGATGGCTCACATCTTGAAGCTTTCTGTGTAATTCTGTGTGGGTGCTATGACAAGAACAGCAGCTGGTATAAAAATTGCTGAATGTCATAATCAGTATCAGCAGTGGCTAATGCTAGTATTTTCCATTAAGTATATTCCTTCTTACCTGTGTGGCAGATTAAAGTAGAGCTTGCATATGTGAACGAGCCCTCATTCAGCAGTGCTGAGAACGTTAACAGTTCAGTGCTTACCTTTCCACTGAGAATCAAGGGACAGTAAACAATGCAGTGCATGCTTTAATAACTAATTTGTAAGCCGCCACTTTTTTATTATAATGATAATCAAGAGTGCCAATTACACTTTGGAAACTGCGTAGCTTTGCTGGCCGATCTTTAAGAAAACGTTTTAAAAGAATGTGAAGAAAAGGCAAGAAGGGCAAAAGCATGTTCACTGTGTAGTGTTTCTTTTCTGACTTGGTCCAAATGCTGATCCTGGAGTCCAGCAGGTTTTTATGTGTCAGTTGCCAATTCCATCAGGCACATAATTGCATTTTGGGGATAAAAGTAGTTTTCATTGGACGGTTTGTTCTTGAGAGAATTTCATGGTACCTTTGTTAATGCAAAAGGCAGAAATATTGGAAGAAGAAGCGATTGCACAAATTGAGACAGTTGTAGTATAGTAGTCGGTGAGGATAGATGGTCTATTTATGATTCATAGTTGAGCAGAACCAATGAAGTTTCTGGTAGATTAGATTACTGTTTATGGGCTCTACAGCATTACAGTTAATCAAAGCCCGCCACTGAGGCATGCGTGGCAGCTTAGTTCCAGGATAGGGAGTTGGTTGCTCTTCAGATATTTTGGTTTTCATATTCTAACAATTCCAGTCAGCACAATCAGTGACAGGTTGCTAAGGTTTGCTACCAAATATCTGTCGAGCATCAGTTTATCCGCTCCAGATAAAATAAATTTGAAGCTGATAAGGAACAAGCCCATATTTCCCAGTTAGGATATCTTCTTTTGTGCCTGTCTGAAGTTGTCTTTTCCTTCAGATCATCTCTGGGATAATCTATGCCTTTTTCAGCTGATCTTTCAGGTTTCAGGAATAGTATTGATTTATTTTCTAGGTGTTGAATGAAGAACGTACGGAGCCTGGGTTTTCATATACCACCGAGCGCTGAGTGCTGAGCACCTGTGAAGGTGGATTCCTGCCTTTTATAATTGACCATTCAGGTCCTTTGTTTTGTATTGGGAGCTTGGATAAACCAGATTGTATCTAAAACCTATCTTGTTTCTTTGCTCCATAAGGAAAATTGGCCTGTTCTTCCTTTTCTGTAGACTTACCATTAGATTTCTTGTTTAAGATGCCTCCATTTTGAATAGGATGAAACCTAGCAATCTTAGAACAGAAATTGAGAGCTAAAAGAATTTGTTGACAGTGAAGACAATGGGGTGTTAAGTTTGGGGAAGGCAAATCCAACCTGGTCTCATTCCAAAACTTACGTTTTTGAACAGTGACTGCACTGTTGCTCTACTTTAAATTGTGTTCAGAGAACCTTCTATTACAGCGCTAGTCTAATATGTATTAGGCAAAATTAAACTATACCTGCAATCTTGCTTTGACCAACACTGAGCAGACGAATGCAAATGGAATTCTCAGGTCTTCTGAGTGCCTTTTTATCTGCATAAAACCATTAAAAGCTTTAAAGCACACAACTTACCAGAAGCTTTTCTCAACCCATCCGTTGCAGATGTATAGCCATGCCTCTTTTCCCAGTGCGAAATATGATGCTGGACCTTTGGATTTTTACCCTAGGTTTAAATGTGAATATTTATTTCCAGTGCACCCCTTTTCCATAGGATTTCTTCATCAATTGTGAACATGGATTGAATAATTAAAAGAGATGCCACCTCACATTTCCATGCTTTCTTTTCAGGAATGAATGTGCTAATATGAATAGTGACAATTTGCTAGGATTCAATGATTAAGTACTCAGACACGTTTTCAAGTTTAATTTTTAGGTGTAAAGTTTTGTAATGGTGCTTTGTACAGTATGTATTCTATTTTTTGCACATAGGTTCAGTTTCTCTAAACTGATTTTTATTTTTACCAAATGTTTGTGTTTGTACTAGAGTCCAGAGCACACAGATTTTTGTTTTGTTTTGTTTTATTTTGTTTTTATTCTGCAACACTATATCTGTTAAACCTGTGGTGCAGTTAAACTGGCTGCATTAATGGAAGGAACTTGTGCTTTTGTATCACATTTGTAGTGTAGCATGACATCATTGCTACAAACTTTGAACTGCACTATATAGGTAACAGATTCAATTTGTACTTAAGACATACTGTTTATTTAGAAAATTTCTGACTCTGCCAAATCCTAAAAGTTTTGTCCAACTAAAATAAACCTATATTTGATATACTTCCTTCTGCCACAAACTGACACATTTTTCAGTTCCATTTCTATTGTATTTATTGCAGAATGTGGTTAGCATTGATATTGTATTTTCACCAAGCTGTTACATGAGCTTTAACAATACATCTGTATAAAATTTTTTGAGTATGTACCCATGCAGAAATTGAGCAATAAAATTGAATGCTGTTTGCACTGTCACAGCATCATCAAAGGTTTTAAAAATTGTTTGCTTTTTATTTTTAAATTAACAGTGATCTTCTTAGTAGTTTTAAGAAGTCACAGAGCTCCTACAGAAGTTGATTAATAAAAGAGAATGCTATTTGCACTGTCACAGAGTCAAAGGTTTTAAAATTCTGTTTTTTATTTTTAAATAAAATAACAGTGATCTTAGTAGTTTTAAGAAATCACAGAAGTCCTGGATAGGAATAAGGCCAACCTTGGAGGCATCGTTCCACTGTCCATTGAGTGGTGTTGACTTGGGAGTTTCTGTGTCTAATATTTACATTTGTAATATTTTTTTAAAGGGGAGAATAGAATCGCTAAGCTTTTCCACTGAGTTCCTCTGCTTTTGCTGTCACCTTTTTTTTAATTTCCTGCTGAGATCAAATTCTGCTGTTTGCAGAAACTAAGATAGTTGGGAGAAAGGAGAAAGAAGATCTTCACTGTATTCCTAGACTAAGTGTGTTCAAAACCTGGCAACCCAGATTTCCCTTTCAAGATTTTTTCTTTTCACATGGATTATATAATTCAGAGATATTACACAAAATATTACTTATTTGTAGTATTCAAATTGCTGTGGTCCAGCACAACAGTAACAGGGTGGAAGAACAATTATAATCACTTGGCCCTAATGTTCATGATCAGTTCTTTCCAAATATGGTAGTTGAGGTGTTAAAATAGCAATACTTTATATGTTAAAATATACCATGAAATTTTTATTTATTTTTAATAAAAAATGAGCTTTAGATTTTCAGCAGCAAATGTTTCTGGTGCCCCTTCTTTTGCAAATACAAGGAATTTAATTGTTCATTTGGCCTTGATATAGCAAAATACATTTATTTGTTTTATAAGATCACCCAACCTAGCACTGATTCTAGATCAGTGGTTCTCAACCTTTTTAATGCCTTGACCCCCTACTGATCGTAAGTCGAGGACTACTCAACCGGTCGTAAGTCGAGGACTACTCAACTGGTGCAGCACCATTTGCAGAATGGGACTTTTGGCGGGCTCAGCAGGGCAGAGACAGCCTGGACAATTCCTATTGGCTTTTGAAAGCCAATAGAATGAAAGGGAGTAGCACAGCTAAGGAAAAGGGGGAAAAAATGGCAGACTGCGTTGTTTGGCGACCCCCGTGAAATGGTCATTCGACCCCAAATGAGGTCCCGACCTACAGGTTGAGAACCACTGTTCTAGATAATGGATAAATTAAAATACAATACCTTAAGATAAAAACTAACCATAATACACCTAACCATATGAGGAAGAAGCAACATAAACTTGCCAAAGTATACAATATGTACTAGATGGGCACATCACCAACCTATCCCAGAGCTAAGTCTTCAGAGATTGTGAACAGGCCTGTGGAATTGGATGGTTTGTGCAGACGTGTGCATATCATGCGCACACATTTCCTTCCTCCTCTCTTCTTCCAGGCTGCTAACCCAGAAACGTTGGGGAGCTCTGTCTTATATAGAAGAGGCGGGTGTCAAGCCTTGAGGCACTCCACAAACGAGTGGATTTGCGTTGGACCTCTCCACATCAGTCAACAGTGACTGACTGGAATTTGCCACAGAAAGAACCATTTCCCCCTCTCAAGCTACATCTCAGTCAATACATGGATGAGCAAGCTAAGTGCTTTCTACAGTAGAACTTGCTTAAATCCAGCTCTTACAGCTGGCCTACTTTTAGTTTCACTATATAAAGAGATTTATCTCTAATGGAGGGTGTTTGGATAGGAAAAGGTATGTTAAAAGTTTTTCTATTTTGTGCCTAGAAAAGAAGATGCAGCCGTATAAAAGCATAGTGCTGCAGAGAAGAACTTTTTCCCCCCAATTATTCCGTTAGGGAAGTAATGTAATTTATAACAGATCGCCATCCATTAGTACCTAGAGAAATAAAGATAAGAGTCCCTGGAAATACATGGCGTCGCTTCCTCTAATAAAGTGTGTGAGATACAATACTCATAAAATGTCATATAGTGGAGCTATTCTCCAACAAGCCACTATGTGTTTCAGTAGAAAACCTAAGGGCAAGATGAAACAACCAGATTGACATTTAAGATATGGTTAGGGAATACCTCTTTACCTTGAATGACTTCAAAATTAATTGCTTCTTATAGCACTGTTGGCTTAGCTAATACTTTATATATAATTATGAACATTTAGTAAATTGGACAAGGGCCAGATGATACGAGAAGAGCAAATATCCCCATCTTCAAAATGGAGCGAAAAATAATAACAGCAAATTATGACCAGCCAGGCAATTTGACAGTGATACCTGGAAAGATTCAAGAACTATAACTTACAATTTGTTTTTAACATTAGCCCAATCTGGGATAGCAATTTACACGAGCAAAATAAAATTTGGCCACAGAAGTTACATCCAGAGATTGCTGCATTGTGATTGTAAGGAAGCTAATCTTTATTGACAAAGTCTTTAAAACCACTTGTTTTGAAAATATCAGTGCAATATTTTCATAACATCAACTTAATCTTGGTCTTGGGGCAGGAAACTAAACCGCTAATGTTATATTTTTTGATTCTGGTCTCCTTGAAAAAAGCCACATAGATATGATACAAGCATGCCAGGCCTTTAAAGAAACAGATAGTTCTTGTTATACTGAAAAGAAGCCACCAAGAGTCTGGATTTCAGCCGATCAGCTTCTAGTTCTCGAAAAAACAAATCATCATCATCATGTGTGATCATGTCCTGCAGCTCTTTAATCTCTTTCTCCATCTTGGATCTCAGTTCACGTTTCACTTTACTTAATGTCTGAAAAGAAACCATTAGGATTATGTTGAGCCATCTGTCAATTCATTTATAGTTCTAAAACTTTACAGGAAAAGTGTGCATATTTCGCAGACTGAGCAAAATACTTCAAAAAGAGTTTGGGCCATTTATTTATTATAATTTTAATTATAATTAAATCTATATAACCCCCTTTGTCAGATTAATGACACTTAGAATAGCCTTTAGATTTATATACCGCTTCAAGATTTATATATCGCTTCGTAGTGCTTTACAGCCCTCTCTAAGAGGTTTACAGAGTCAGCCTATTGCCCTCAACAATCTGGGCTCCTCGTTTTACTGACCTTGGAAGGATGGAAGGCTGAGTCAGCCTTGAGCCGGTCAGGATCAAACTCTTGGCAATGGGCAGAGTCAGTCTACAATAATTCTGCATTCTAACCATTGCGCCATCAGGGCTCTTGTGTACAAATTCAACTGCAACATTTGAGAGTCATCTTCAAAGCACTGAGAAAAGAGTGTGCATTCCCTCTCTACAAGAGAAGACTCACCTGGACATGTGCTCGCTCTCTGGTTTGGATTTCTCGACGTTCTTCTGAAACGGCTTCAGCCAGCATTGCAAACTAAAGGAAAGTGGAAGAAAAACTAATAATGGACTGCGAGAGATCAAGCACCATCTTTATGATATCAGGGGCAAAAGCCTACCTGATCTTTATAATAGTTTTCCATGGATTGCAGTTCATCTTGATACTGCCTCTTTTGTTCAGCACGTTTTTCCTTGGCATACGACCTCAACTCAAGGAATCTTTGTTTCTGAATTTCCAAGCCTTCTTCAAACAGTTGTTTAAATATCTACCAAAATGACATTTCATTAACAAACACAAGAACAGCTCTGTTTAAAAAAATAATTTCAGGGGAACATAATATCTTTAGACACAGGTCCCAAGTCGAACTTTGTCACAAAGTCATATATAGTGTATAATCTTAGTATCTCTTTTGACAATTCTAACTGATGGTCAGTTTTGTCTCAATAAGCGCTATCCAGCCATTTTATAGATAATTCCTTATTCCCATAGGGGATTCTTCTATTGTTATCAAATTAGCCTTGAGCAGAAATGGAAAACACATTGGGAGTTGTAACATTTACTATAAAACCTTGCAGATTAGGAACTTCATAATATAAAATTTGCTACAAGATCAAAATTCTTATTCTATTACCTTGTGATGCAAAGGATGTAGTAATTGGTACTGTTTAATTGTTTAAAAAGTTAGCAAGAGGGAGAAGCAATAACCCAAGGTATTCTCCATAAATAATCTACTCTTCATCAACCTGAATCACAATTAATCAAATCAATTAACTGATCATTTCCTTCCAACTAGTTAATTCACTGTGTTTATGCATATCGGCATTTTACTGAACTCCCAATATAGGTAGTCCTCAACTTATGACCACAACGGAGCCCCAAATTTCTATTGCTAAGCAAGACAAATTGTTAAATGAGTTTCGCCCCATTTTATGACTTTCTTACCAGAGTTGTTAAATGAATCACTGAAGTTGTTTTGTTAGAACAGGGTTCTAACAAATCTGCCTTCCCCATTACCTGCTTATCAGATCACAAAGGTGATCACATGACTCCAGGACTCTGCAACTGTAATAAATATATTCCAGTGTCCAAATTTTGATCATGTGATCGAGGGGATACGGCAAAGGTCATGTGACAAATGATCATAAATCCTTTTTTTCCAGTGCCATTGTAACTTCAAACAGTCATTAAATGAATGGTTTTAAGTCAACGACTACCTGTAATAATTTTTTGAGGCAATAGCAGCACAGGAAATGCAATTTTGATTTTAAAAAGTAAGTTAAGTTGGCTTTAACTTTCAAGTTCATTTACTAAAACTACCCTCTGACCTTTGTGGCAGTGTTCTCAACACAAAGTTGCTTTTCCAGGGCATAATCCTCTCTGCTCTTCTTGATTAAGGAGTGGTATGAGGCAACTATAACATCTAAGCACCTCCCAAATTCATCAGACTAGCAACCGATGGCACCCAACCACCTAATGTGGGCATTCCTAATTTGCTGTTGAAATGCGGGTTAGTGGATTCACAATGGCAGTCACACCAGGCTGAAAACATAGTAAACTGATCCAAACTCTCTCAACCTGGCCAAGTGAATTGGGCTTGGCTCTTTACTAGCACTGCAGAGTGAGATCCCAAACTTACCCTTTCCTCCCGTGTCCTGGTCCTCATCATCTTGG